TAATAACTACGTTTCATAAATATCTTTTGTGTTGGAAACTGTTGTGTTATAAAGGGCTGTAATGACTTATTATATGTCAATATGTGAAATTTGTATAGGAAATAATGTACAGTATTTTATTCATATATCTTTTAAAACTTAAACGACTATCTAACATGTTAGACGTTCTGGTGGAATTCCGAAGATGTGGTGATGTGTGAAGCAGAAGGATTTCTAAGGAGCTGCTGCTGTTATGTGATATTTCCCACCTCTCTGTAAAAAGTTGCAGTCAGGGTTTGAGTTAAGGTATTTCTAGCCTTTGCAACAAAAATTCTGTCACCTGAATTTCTCCCTTATATGTCCGACACAACCCCCTTTTTAAAAGATTATGAAAGACAGTCAACGTAGCCCTAAATATTTAATACAGTGTAGGTATATCATTATATATGTATGTCATAAATATGTCTTTGTAGTGTTGAAACCAGTGATTTTATACTCAAACATTGTAAATGTATGCAATACGATAGCAAATATAAAGAGAACTGCTATATAGACCACATAGTTAAGTCCACAATCCATGCAATACAAAGAAAATACCTATATCTCAAAAGACCAATTGAAACTCTTCAAAGAGTGTATGAATTCTATAAAAAAATGTCTTCCTTACAGACCTTTGAAAACAGCACTGGTGACTCAGTTACCCCTAAAAAGAGTTGCAGAAATTAATTAATTCTGTACCATGCTGATCCTCAAGAGCCCCATTCTAGTCTTACACATGACACAAAATCACACTTATCTAAAGATTTAGAGCAATGTAAGGTAATTTACTAATTTAGCTTGTAAAGTGTTTTACTTATGGAACTTTTAGTGGATTGGAGCTGTTCTAAGACCTGAGAGTTTGGAGATTTAGTGGTTACCAATAAAACCTCCTGAATCTGGAACCCTCCAGAGCGTGGGTTGAAGACTCCTGGTGAAGACAATAATTGCAATGTATTCTCTTAGTGTTTTGTTGTTGTTTTTATTTCTTAAGAAATGGTTCCATCACAAAGTATTGAATAGTAGGACAGTAGATGTTGTTGTACAACCTACAGATAATGCTGTCTAGGTTTATATCTTTTGTTCCTTGTATTTTACCATAAAAAGAAATGCAAATATAACTGAAACCACATTCCAGTTGCAAGGAGCATGTTGGGGTAAACGAAATATGTATCGTACAATTGCACCATCTAGTGCCCAATAGACAACTGTAACACCTTTCCAAGATATTTCGTGTACATATTGCAAGTAGAGTTGATTATTATATTATACGGATATTTTCTAATCACTTAATCCACTGCAACGTAGCAGGGCGCAAGCACGGATACACACTGGAAGTGACACCAGTTACAGCCCAATAGTTGTTCTTGAATAAAACCACTTATTACCAGTTAAGACAGCAACATTATCATTCATCTTCACGGAAGAGAAATGCTGTACTCTGGTAATCTTTCCTGATTTTCAAATGAATTAGATGCGCCCGAAACATTTTCAAAGGAAGAGTGAGGAACTGCAGTCACGAGAGGTCTCAAAAGCGGATGTTCAGGTATTTTACGAGAATATTTGGAGGCTACAGAAAGTGAACACTAAACACATGTATTATACACGTCCACAGTTGGAATTATTTTAAAAAAGAGTAATCTATTTAATATCACTAGCTAAACGGGTCATATGCATTTCTGGTTAGAAGTTTAAAAAAATAAATTAATTGCTTTAATGGTCTCGCTACTCACCGGAACTGCCACCGCAGCGTTATCCTTTAATTTTCCAATCGAAGAAAAGCCATCGAGGTTCACCCCGCCTCTCGGGGATATCTTTTGAGAGTCAATCAAATCGCAGTCAACAAAAAGGGTCACTGATCCCGTTTCCACACTTAGCAAGATCTTGTGCCACTGAGAGTCGAACAGGGACGGTATGAAAGAGAAAACGGCGGTCTGCAGGCTGTGATCGGCTCTTGCGCAGGAGAACTCCACCGAGCGCGTCTTCCCGTTCATTCTTACTGCAAGTTGCTCGTTTCCGAAGGCATCTTGGATCTGCCAAATATTCCAGTTCTTATGTAAGGTGCTCCCACTCATCCGGAAAGTGGCAAGAAAAGAAAATTCTTCCGGCAGCCCAAAAGGGTAGGCGGCCCTGTCATTCAAGAGTACAGTTATTCTGTTAATAAAGTCCCGACAGGCATAAGAGAAACTTAGATATACTTTAATTCCGAAATGAATAGTTGAGGTTTAAGTCATATTCTTTTTTCGCTGTGTTAAAACAAAGTGCACAGTCTGATAGTCACACCCTATTTAAAATTAACATTTACTGCGCAGTCCGAAACCAAATAAAATCGAGGAACCGATGCAAGTGTCGTACGGCATTTAAACGTTTACAGTTTCAGCACCACGGATAGTGAACACCGAAAAGCTACTGCACAGTGCCACTAGATGGCGTAAGTAAGCTGTAAATGGACATAAATGTGCGCTCTAAAACCGAGCATATTCAGTTTTTAGCAGTGGGGTACCTTGTTTGTAACCTGAAGCTATATTCGGGTCCCACTATGTACGCAACCTGCGAAGGGGTTGATCCGACCACCCGCTGGATTGTTCCTCCAGTCGTTGCGGTGCCTAAATGAAACTGGGAAATAACATCAAAACCTACGGAAATAAGAAAGAGAACGATACATTGCTGAATTTTCACTGACAATACATCGTGAAATGGGTGATACAGAGGATTGTGTTCTTCTGAAATCGTCTACCTGGTAAATCGTCCTCTCCGACTTTTATCTGAGGACAAGTTCTTAGCTGGCTTTGAATTGCACCCGCAGAAAGAGGAAATCCTGTGAAGACACGTTTATCAAAAGATAGACACATGCATTATTTTCTATACATTGTTATACATCTTCAAAAAAATCAACATTTTTTTCACGGCAATTTTTTTCTGTATTGGTGTCAAAATTCGTTATACGCGGTGTATTCTATTTTGCCTTAGTTGTTTGCTATGCAAAAGACATAAAATATTGTTTAATACACATTTTTAAAGCATCACCTTGTAGACAATTTGAAATGGCAAAACCAAAGAATGAAGCCGGTCGTACATAAGTCTACTGTGCGGTTCAATTAAGAATAAATGTCCTGAGGTTGTAAATAGGCCAGAACGTGTTTTACTGTTGGGCTGGTTGTTGGCCGGAGCTGTGTGGCTCATGGAAACGCATTGCATGATGTTCTTCATTCAGTCACTGTGGTGTGTGATCATTCACACGTCTTTTCATTGGGAAACAACTATCGTGTCATGCACCACAAGCCGGATTATTTGAAAAGATGTACAGTACTCACTCTCTCTCTCTCTCTCTCTCTCTCTCTCTCTCTCTCTCTGAGATTCCTGGACCTCCATCGTGTTTCATTTCTTCGTCATCCGCAATCTTGGGCACTGAAGGGTGTCTGCGGCTCCCAACCAACTCATAAAGTGTGTTCGGTTCGTTACAAATCACACCTGCCTTGGTACACGCGTGAAAATACAACCTGTCACATTGGTAGCTGAGTTGCTGTCTATAAATTACAGTTGTTGGGATGATTTTGTTACAAACAGAAATAAATTGATCTTAAAGTACAACACGTTCTCATAGTTGAGATGAAATTAGGCAAAAGCAAAATGCTTTAGTATTTTATGTGGACCTAAAAGCCGGACAGATGTTTGAAATGGCGAGCTGATGAACACAAGCAAAAGTTAAAATTAAAAGAATAAATGTTCGCCGTGTATCTTTGCCAAGTTGAATACAGTTGCTTTTTTTTCCTGCGTTGCTCAGGTATTGGAGTAGAGATAAGATCTCTGGCTGGCACACAAGAGGTTCGAGGATTTCAGTTCCGGGTGGGACGATGTGACCTTGATTCGCCAAAACCGCTCCGCTAAAGGCGATTGCACAAACGCGCACTCCCCACGCCAGCATTACAACGGAGATTGTTCCCAATTGAGTTATCTGGTTGAAATTATTAAATGTATGAAATTAAGTTTAGAATGGATTTTTTCAACAATTGACTCCATTTTGTAGTACAAATACAGTATTTTAAGTATGCCCTAGACTAGAGGAAAAGGATTTGACCGAATTGTTACAATATAATTTATACGCTAAATTGCATTATGGGGCTTTACAACGCAAATTCCTTATATTCGTCAAAATTCAGTGATAAGATTCTGACAAAGTACCACGTAAAAAATGAAAACTAAAGGATGTTTAAAATGGAGGTTATACTGTACTTACTCTGGGAGTGTTGCACGGTGGCAAAGCATTTTTGAATCAAGCAACCAAGAAGGAAGATGAACACAAGTTTTTCCCTGAAAAGAGAGTTGTCAACTACATTAAGTCCAGCAAAAACATACTGTATTATCTAATTTATATCAGATAATATTATCTACTTTATAAGTAGAATTATTACATGATTTATAATGCAGAAAATAAAAATATATAATTATACTGGTTACTGGTAATTGTTAAGTAGTTTTAATAAGTTATCTTTTAGTCTATAATATCAGATGAAGAGAAACAATCCTCAAATCTAAAACTTTAAAATTTACCTTATCAGCTCCCCCATGCCAGAGCCCTGCAGGACCGGACAACGATGTTCAGTTTGTTCTTCCTAATGTCTCCAGGGCCTGGTGTCCAGTTCACTGAAGTCTGGAAGAATGCCCATGTGCCCAGAGGCTGATCTGTGTCCGTTTAAATTGAAGGTGGGGGTCAGGACATGTGTTCATTATTTGCTTAACTAATTTGAAGGGGAGATGAGGGGGGTCAGTGGGAGGCACTTACATGTCTGAAGGCTTTTCCTACATATTGCTTCTGTAGGTGGTCCACTGCTGGCCAGCACACTAGTGGAGCAGTGGAGGAGTTATGTCAGTGTTGAATACCGAATTCCACTATGTAAGCCACTTGCAATCGTCTAAACATGACTCATTGAACTACTGTGTTTCCATATTTTAATTGAATAAAACAAACGCCAACATGAGAAATGTGGGTATTTGTAAAATACAATAAACTGATAATAAATATTGGCCAGTCTTCTCTAGGGGTTTTAATTCCATTGTTATGGTTCAGCAGTAAAAAACTCTCCTCTTTAAAGACAAACCCTATTTCTCAATTCCCCCAAATTATAAAAGCTGCCCATTCTACCGCACCTAACCACCCACATGTTGTGCCCTGTGATGGTCTGGTGTTTCCTGCCGTGCACCTATTGCTTGCTAGGACAGGCTACAGCAGCTCCGTGACCCTTTACTGGATAAAAGAATTAGAACATGGATGGATATTTTAAAAAGTTAGTTTAAATTAGACTTCACAATTGATTAAGAATAATGTCATTGACAGCATTGACATAACCATAACATAATATTTTAAAAGCATTATCAAAACAATATCAATTGTGTTATTTATGGCTATTGCAATATCCCTTATTAATATCTACAGTAAATGATATACTGCAATTTTACTACATATGTTGGAAGCTATTGCTCTTACGGTAAACTACTTGAACCTCCCAAATGTTGTCAATTTGTAATTCTTTGGGTGCAATAGTCTCCTTTTCTATAAGTTTTTTGTTGTATTGAACATTTGGGTTTTTGAAAGCAGATTTTAAAAAAGCTTTCTGTAAAGCTTGACTGAAATTTATTACAAACAAAGCTCGCTTGCAAGGGTCTATATGAGCTGTCAGTATCATGATATATAATGCTGAACAAGCTGAACAAGCTTTAGACTCAAAGTAGCTAAAGCTCTGCCTTTTAATCTCACAATGAGTGCATCCACAACTCAGCCCTTCTTCACCTGGAGTGGACAGATACTTCAGTTCATTTAATCAAGCAATGTTGCTTATGTGATTTTCCTTACCTGTGTTACTACAAGTGAATGTTCTTGTTACATATGGAAAAGAAAGAGTTACATTAAATGTTCAATATGTTAAACTTAAAAGACCTTAAAGAAGAAGCCTAGAATTACTTTTCTGTCCTGACTCCATGCTTTTTGTCTTATGTCTATCCTTGGTAATTATCTGTAATAGTTTTGACCCTGGCTGTTAATCATTATGCATATTATCAACAAAGCATAACAAATAAAGGGATAGAAGATTTAGAAAAAATAAGTAACAACAGTTACACAGCAGTAATAGTGTTGACCGGAGATTGTCCCAGGTCCATTGTCTATTTCTGAGTGTAAAATACTTTCTAGTATTTCATTCTAAACATTTTACTGTCACCGAAGTTGCCATTAAGCACTTTAACCTACTTACTGTGCCACTGTGCTGCCCTAAGGTTACATTCCTAGAATAAAATCTGAATTCAATAATTGGGAGATTAAGAAAATAATATACTGTAAATACAGAATATTCAATTAATATCAATAATTAAACTAAGAAAGTTTCTACCTCCTCTACACACACGTATGTCCTTGTTGTATTGACTAGCTTCATTTTACAAAGGCAACATACAGCAAAAACAAGTAGTCTCAGGCCTGGAAGGAACTTCAGTTCTGTATCGGATTACCATTTCCTCTGCTAGATCTAGCTATTTTTTCAGAGTGATCTTAAGGTTGTTTTTTCTACTATGACTGGATTACCCAAGGATTCCAGCTACAGGATCTGTTTCACTTGACCTAAGAAAGGTTAGGAGAAAGTCTTTTCTTCTTTTTGTTTACATTTGTCATACTTTTACTCTTATGTGCTCAGCATTAGAGCACTAGTATTGTGCTTTCTGCATTTCCCATGGCCACCTTCAGCCTTGTTCCAACAAAATGAATTCACAACTTGTTAGTCTTATGGAACTATCAATTGAATTTGTTATTTTTAGTAAATATTTTAGGCTATTTACTGTAGTTACAGTAAATTTCTGTCTGGTTTAGAAGGAGAGCAAATAAAGAACATGGAAACCAAACACAGCACTTGCACAGATGTGCACAGTGCTGAAGGTGTTAATCTTATCCATCAGCAGCAGGCAGCTCAGAGCACTGGCTCCAAGACTCATGCTCAATGTGCAAGTTTATTTGCTCTCCATGAGCTGCACTTCTTCAGCTTCCCTGACCCTTTAAATCATGGATTTATTTTCCCCATCTGCTAAGACTGCTTCGATTTTATCCATGCAATGCAGATAAATACTAGCCTGTCTGGCAGGGTGAGAGCCATATGGCCACATAAGCTGGGTGGAGTCCTCTCACAGAAGCTGCAAAAGCTCAGGTATTCTTTAGACCACTCATGTAGTGATGAGTGAACAGGTGGTGGATGTCAGCAGCACAGAAGCCCTGTTTTTCTATTCACAAACCTGTGAGAGAATGAGCTGGTAACTGCATTGTCAAACAGATGAGTGATGGTTTAGCAAAGAGTCTGAAATGAGAATTTCACCTAGCCACATATGTCCAAGCACCTGCAGTGTAAATCTTTGTAACTCCACTCATTCACTATCACTCATTGTGAGCTTGACCTGATCTTCTTCACATGGTGCAATTGAATTGAGCCTCCAGAGGTGGATCTCGCATGGTGTAATGTACTGGGTGAGTGTTGAGCATCCATACTGTGGGGTGTAGGATTCACACTTCTGTCCTTCCACTTTGCACAGAGGTGTAAATGTTGGGCCTTCCCAAGGCAGGGCTGGTCATAGACAAGAGCCCACTGGTGCTCCACTGCTCATGCTTGTGCAGGGAGAAGTACTCCTTAGCATCTGTGTAAACGCAAAGCCTGGAGGCCGTCACAGGGGGAAAAGTCTCTGCCAGGCCAGGTGGCTGCAGTTGGTGCTTGTTCAGTGCAGCTACAGCCACACCTTCTCCCCAGACTTCTGGGAGCCGGCTTGCTTTCTGTGACATGGAAGCCTTACTTTCTATCTGTATGATCTGTGTTTCCTTCTCTGTTTTCTTCTGTGCCCCCAAACAGGGACCCTGGCTGTCTTGTGGCACATAATTTCTACTCCTGACACCAATGTGATAAAACAGCATCTTTCAGGATGTGTACCAGGATGCTGTGTCTAGCAGTGCAGACCTGGCTTTAGACAGAGTGTGACCTACAAAAATTTCAAATAAATGGTGATGAATGCCACCCGTGAAGGAGTTAGGAGTGCTCCCTATATTAGACCTACAGTACCGTGGGGTGGCAACAAAACATGAAATGACAGTGTCCTCTGGAGGGACAGAGCCCTTATTTCTGTGAAGAAACACCCCCCAGATCATGAACCATACAACCTCCCCCACGTGTAAACTCCATGTGTAAAAGGTCCAGACTGCAGCCACCAACAGCTACTGTATATTGACCCCATCTCAGGCCCAAACATCACCCAAAAATCTAGGCCTCCACAATACTATAGCATTACTCCTCTTTAGGAGCTCCACTGAACAGCAGAATAGGCAGAAAGTCTGAAAATTCAAAGTCATTCATCTACATTACAATAAAACTGATATCATCTAATTCAATGCTGTAACTATTTGCAAACCAAGAAACAGTGCAGTTTATAATTACCGTAGATTCTGGTGTTATAGAAGTGAACTTTAGAATGATGTTGTAGCAGCATTATCCTCTTATGAACTCAAAGGATCTTTTCAAAGGGCTGCTGGGGCACCAAATAACAGAGATTTTTATTCACAATTGGTTGAATCAACAGCCATTACAGATCCCTGTTTCTTTCAGCAGCTGAGGCTCAGATAAAATAATGACTTTAATCCACATGCCAAAATAAAGAATTACAGGCTCAGAGCATCACTTGATGATGGTTTCCATTGAGTAAAAGCAAAATATAATCAAATATCATCAGCAGGTTTAGAATTTGGCTTAGTAAGTACAGTAATTAAAAACTGCAAACATGCCACACATTATTATGTGTGTGATAAGATTTTAATAATAATAATAATGGGTTCTTCAACAAGTGAAGGAGGCGATTCAGGAGGATTGTCCTAATGATATTCCCTGTGATGGAAAGCTAGAGAATCAGATTGGCTGAGCGGTCAGTATTGCTGGCTCACAGTACCGGGTTTCAGCCTGGACCTGGGGTGCCGTCTGTGTGGAGTTTGTATATTCTTGCTGTGTTTGCGTGGGTTTCCTATGGATGCTCCGGTTTCCTCCGGTGGGTTAATTGGCTTTTGGGAAGAGGGTTCTGTCCAGGATGTACCTCAACTTGCACCAGCTGCTTGCCTCCGGCTCCCCCGCAGCCCTGAAGTGAAGTGGTTAGTATATGGTTGAATTTCTCTCAGATGAAAAACGAACACAAAATATGTTCACTTATTTGTCGTTTCTGCTTCTTGATTATTTCAGAACTGGTTTAAAGAAGGAAAAGTGCTGTGGTAATAATCAGAACTTGACCTCCTGTGTGATTATAAAATTTCATCAATGGAACTCTGAGGATTGTAACCATGGCAATAGAATGTATTCCTTTGTTTAGCAAGGCTATTTTTAAATGACAGCCTCCCTTCCATTTTCTCAAATACAAGAAACAAACTAACGTGGCTGTAATAATTCTGGCAGTCAGCACAAGAAAAGTAATATATTTTCATTTATTTTAGTTTTAATGTTTAAATATTAGTTGCAGTGTAAAATGGAACAAACAGAAATCTAAGCTTTGTCTGCTGAACAGATTATAATTACTTTGTTTATGATATTACTGTATTGGTTTTGCTGTTATTTATTCGAAACATGTAAATCAAAAAGAAAGCTGAGCAATTAATGCATTACAGGTAAGAGTCACTTATTTTCTTCGTTGTGTACATATCTGCAGTAACTATCAAGCACGTTCACAAACAGTCACACTGTTTTTGTATTGTATTGAGCTGAAATGCTGAAATTGGGAGTGGCAAATCTGTGGTGTTCCAGTGGACTGTGGGTTAGAAAAACATCTAATATTTTTAATTCTATTACTAGAAGAATGTGATATTAATAAAGATACTAGAATCTTTGTTTACTTCCACTGCACTCCATAAACACTTACGTCTGATGACACTCATTTACAAAACATTTATGGATGATTGGACTTTCTCAAAAAAAAAAGAAAAAAGTTATAAATATATTAAAATCTTGTTTTGTAAGTGCTAAAGAATTGTATATTTAAATTATATGTAATAAAGGTATAAACATGATAACATAGAAATGAGAAGTTCATAAATCATCTGCACCCTGCTACTTTTTCAAAAAAGTCCCAACCAGAGATTGATGGATTGAAATTACACTCTTTCCCCATGACACACAACAAGCAGTACAGTCAAGCACTAACAGCAGGGTCTTTCAGGATAGAGGAGACATTCCTGCTCTGTTCTCTACACAGGGATCAGCAGCAGACTTTATTATATGGCAAACACCCTGGGGCTAAAGAGGAGGGTTTGCAGTCCCCTCAGAGGAGCCTTCTTCAAGTGCCTCAGCAATCTCAACACTATGCTAAGAATGGTTCGCAAGAACTGACAGACGAGACTTCCAGAACAATAATAACAGTGAAGGCCTTTCCATTAAATATTCTCAAAGTATAAATAATGTTTTATGGATAAAATAAAAAAAGGTGGATAAAAATGGACAAATACGTTTTGTTGCAATCCCTAGACTTTCCTCAGATGGAATTGTCTCTTTGACGAGATGGATCTTTGCATATCTCTTTCTGCTGTACTTCTTCTGAGTATGAATATATCTCTTTCTCCCTTCTACTAAATACAAAGACACCTCATTCACAGCTGAGCTCCTAAGGTCTGAAACAGCACATTGAATTTGTAACTGAAATATACATCAGACCTCAATGCCATTCAATCTAAAGATCCTCCTAGAGCCTCAGAGGTAATAATTTAGGGAATTGTCATGAGTTAGTTCTCACACACTGCCGTCAAAAACTAACCACAGTTTAATTCAAAATTATATAAAGTTCTATACGGCATTGCAATACTTCAAAACTATTATCTACAAATGTAATAGTCCTGAGTCTATACAATAAATACTGCATAGAAAGGGCCAGTAAGATCTTGTAAGTATAAGTTCACAATTTCTGGTGTATAGAATCATCTGGTGATGTGTGACCTTGCTATATTGTAGTTAGCATATGGCCCCCTGCTTTAATCACTTGATTTTATTACTCAAGGGCATAAAAGTGGAGAAGCTATTTTTTCTCTTCTGTATTTGTCCCTGGTGGAGGAGTCTTTGTCTTAAAGGCATGGTGTAATTGCTGTTTCTTTGCAGTGTATTTCTGCTCTTTTGAAACTTAAGATTTTTAAAGGGAAATGGTTTCATACATGTCCATGATTATACTGTAACTATCAGACCATGAAGAAATTTTAGAAACATATTTTAAAGGAAATATTTTTTTCTTAAAAAATGAGTTATTCTTTTCTGAATAAGTTTATATTATACTGTATATATGTATCAGTTATTCTGAATGTAGCCCGCAGCGAAGTCTTGCTAGGAATGTTTTAAAAGGATATAACCATATGTAATACATCATTTATTTCATTTTGTATAGACTGGCATAAATTATTCACATTTCTATTGAACAGTCTCAGATACTCCAAACCACTAATGGTCCATTATTATAGAGGTGGAAAGGAAATTCCAACAGAAGGTCCAACACAAGTTGAGAGCTTTTAGTGATTTTTTCACAGTTCACAGATAATACAACCCAATTATGTTCTTAAAGAATACCTCTGAAGAATATTAGCCAATTTAAAAGTATGTGGTCCAATTGCAAATTTGAATCATGCCACACATTATTAAGTGTGCTTGATGAGATTTTAATAATAATAATAGAACTAACATAGTTATTTAGAATTTTAAAAAGATGTTATGTGTGCTTCATAAGTGTTTCTGGACAGCGGCATTCCCACCTCCTGACCGGATTTTATCAGTCTTCAGGAGTTCAGCAAATGCTACCCCTGTAGGTGGCGCTCTTCCTTCTAAGCCAGCATTTCTAAACCAATGGCCCAGAACCGCAAGCACCTATAGCACTGTTAGTAAGAGCATAAGCGATAACCCCGATAATAACTATCTAATTGATGTTCTACTTTATAAATGTTCTACTTTATTTAATTATGTTTTCTTTCTTTTTGTAGTTTGTTTTGAATGTTTGGAGCAGGCTGTCTATATAACAAATATTAATTTCTACTTCAAACATTCTAATCTTTAAAGCACCAAAATACAAAAATTGTGCAAGAGCCTGAATATATTATCAAGCAACTGAATATCGTGTATTATTGTGGAATCCACAATCACAGATAATGAAGAGAGAAGTGTTCATAGTAATGGTGTTATTGCGCACAGTCAGCATGGATAAGGCAGAGGATATACGTTGCATGAGCTGTAAATAATATATACTTTTTAAATACTTTTTTAAGAAGATACAAACACCATCTTCTTTAGAGGAGGTTGAACTGCACTACAGTGGACAAATTAATGGCCAAAAAAGAAAATAAATTACCTAATAAAAATGCAATTATGCAAACCTTGAGTACAGTGTAAAAACTTCCTCAGTTATGTATGAACTGTGTTTTACCCCCTGATGCTGTTCAATCACAGAGACCTGAGAGGCTATCTGCTCAGAGATCCCTGCTTGTCCCCAGGCTCTTCAGTCTGCTGGGATTCTATCCTGCTCCTGGTCTTTCGCTTACTAATGAACATACCTTGTTTTTAAATGATAAAGACTCATAAAACGTATGTTCAAATAAAGCAAATTTTGACACTCATCTTAGTATATCTTTGTTATTACTGCTTCAGTTTTTAAGCTTGTTGCTTTTATATTTAAGGGTGTATATTTCCTTTACATTCTTCTGCATTAAAATCATAAATGATAAGCTACACATTCAATGATAAAAATAATTGGTGCTGTTGTTGGCAGACTTAATTATTCTAAAACTGCGGAGAGGATAAAATGGGAAGTCGTCATTAAGGTTTGCTGTTCCAGGGGATTTTCCATCCTTGAGAAAGATGACTGACTATCTTGCTCGTCTCCTTTTCTGTTATATATAATATTTATATAATAAAAATATATAATTATTTGAGAAAATAAAGGTATTCCGTAAAATAGGAATCTACCTTAAACAGAACGAGTTTAAGTTCCGGTTTTGTAATGAAACGCTCTTTCCTCAATTTCACGGCACTATAGCAACCTGCCTGAAGTTGTTTTCTGCTCCAAGAACCTGCTTGCTCTGAGTAGGCTCCAGTCTGGGCTCCTCCTCCCCTCTCGGCGAGCAGCCAGTGTTGCAGAAAGAGTTACTAGTACACTACCAACACCACGGTATTCAAGTCGGTATGGCTGCTGTTGGGGGCTGACTGTGCAGCATGTTTTTCTCCCAAATACAAGAAGAAGAAAAAAACGATTTCCTCGCATAAAGCGGAATATATATTTCTCTTAGGAAAAGGACAAATATACAGTGTTCACTCTCTGAATCCCGCACTCAGAAGAGAAGAAAGGCTAGAAGAACAGGAGGCGCATTTCCCAGCGGTATGCCGTAAAAGCTGGAGCGGGGGAAAGGAAACCCTTTTCAGTCGCCGTAAACAAATTTAGATCGGTGTCTCGGCCTTCCACTCGCTGACCCTGCTGGAGGTAGAGGTATGCGGGTTTACCGGCTCGGTGTGCTTATCGCGACGTGTCGAGCTGTGCTGCGAGCGGAGGTCTGAGATGCGGCTGTGGCCGCCGTGTGCGCAGTCCGCGGCGCCTGGTCCCGGTCTGCCTGCCGGCTGCGGCCGCGCAGGAGCGGAGAGGAGCGGGGCACCGGCCCGCCGGGCAGAGCGTCTCCTCCGGGGCTGGAGCCCCGCTCTACTGCACAGACCACAAGGCGGACCGCTTACAGGGCGAAAAAAACAAAACAAAAAACTTGTGCAGAATCTGTTCGCATTTAAAAAAAACATTTTATTATCCTTTTGACGACAGATCATGAAATAGGTATTTTAATAATACATTTAAATAAAAAGGTTCATGTAGTAGTATGGTTCTAAAAGTGGTGGTGTGTCATTGACTAAAGACAATTATTATAAGTAAGAATTGGGGCGGAGCGGTGTCTCAGTGGCTAAGGATCTGCGCCTGTGGCTGGATGGTTGCCGGTTCAAATCCCGCAGCCGGCAGAGGAATCCTACTCCGTTGGGCCTCTGAGCAAGGCCCTTAACCCCAACTGCTCATGGGGCGCTGTACAATGACAGACCCTGTGCTCTGACCCCAGGCTCTCTCCCTATCTGTGTGTCTGTGTGTCTCATGGAGAGCAAGCTGGGGTATGCGAAAAGACAATTCCTAATGCAAGAAATTTTAAAGGGTTAATAAAGTGATGTTACTATTATAAGAGGACAGACACTATTGGGATTTAACATCACTCCTAATATATCCCAATGTCCGCATCATTTTTGGTAACCGTTTCATTTTACTAATGATACACAGTGCAAATGCTGTTTTGACATACAGTGGTCAATAAAATGCTTAGTATTTGCAATGGCTGAAAAGTACCTTAGACCGCTCGGAGTGCTTTATCTTATGGAGTTCTAGTGGTACTGCACCCTGCTAATGAACTTAAACAGAAATTACGTTAAATGGGTTTACTGGCGCGGTCAGGGATAATTATAACATTTTAAATGGTTTAAAGTATCGTGTTTTTTATTTTATCGGCATATGCAGTGGAAACAGCATGGGCAAATTAACTTTCCTGTGACTTTTAAATATTAGAATGGGGACACATGGTTCAGTAGGGTTTTGCTAAGAAGTAATTTCGTTCTTGGGCCGGCATTCCAGATGTCAAACCAGAGATCACTGATGCTTGTTTCTCTGGAGATGTGTGTTAATCCTGCTTTAGAACTGGAGAGACTGGAATACAGGTAACCTTATGGTTGTGGGTGTCATTTACTGTCAGCAGCAGAAAGTCAGTATGGATTATTGCTCATGGGCGAATTCAGTGTAGCATAAAAGTCAGTTCCCTGACAGGGTGTGTCTTGTGAAAACAATATGAAAAGACTTTAATTTATGAGTTAAATAACTGTACGATTTGCAGAGATACTAAAACTGACACCAAGCACACATCTGAAGGAAATTAACGTAGTACAAGATACTATGTGTTTCCACACAATACAGGAATGCTTTTTAACATTCAAACTTTGAAGAAATTAGATATTCAATTTGTGAAGCACCAGGATGTGTTTTGAAGCACTCTGCTTTTGCCTCAGTATTTAAATCTTGGGAAGAAAATAATTGTTACAAACAAGAGGCCTTCAGCCCATCTTGTCTCTCTGGTAGTTAGTAGCTAACTGATCCAAGGATCTGCTCCAGCCTATTTGTGAAAGACACCACAGTATTGGCTTCAATCACATAGCTGGGTAGCTTGCTTCATATTTCCACAATCCTTGTGTAGAGAGGTCCACCTGTTCTCATTTTAAACACACTTTTATATAGCTTCCATTTCTGCCCTAAACATTCCCTGAAGCCCTTCAGGGTTTCTGGTTGCCCTTCTCTAGTCTGATACCAAAGCAGCAATATTAACTATGTAATGTGGTGACCTAAATTGTACACAAATCCTGTTTCTGGCCACCTCTGACAATGATACAGTTAGTGACTTTAGGCAACAATAGTGTTCCAAACTCTCACACTGAAGAAGTGGCTTAATGGGTGTCTCCTGTAGTAACCATGATGTCTTCTGTCTTTTGGACTTGAGTTAATAACTCGCTAATTGCATTGGCTTAATCAAGAAGTCTGTTTTCATTTCCGCTGTGGTATCGCCAATGTAGAGAATATGTAGCTGGGGTTTTGTTTTATCATACAAACAAAATACAATACAAAAGAAAACTGGTTGAATTTTAAGTGCACCTTTTGAAAAGGTCTTCATGAGCTTTATTTTCTTTCCTGTTTTTCAATTTTTCTAATCCTTTATTCAACCACTTAAGTCAATTGAGAATGTTAATGTGTTAGAGGAACAAAAATCGAGATGATTTATAAAATGATGACAACAGTAAATGAGAAACAACAGTAATACTGTAGAGAAAGAAAAAAAGCTTCAGTACTCATACAGTACGGCTGGAGCACAGCTGTTCTATAGTGCGGACAGGAGTAGAGATGTGACCAACATTCCTGACAGTGTGGTAAGATTTCAGACCTGGTCTGATTTTGTGTCCTGGGGTCAGGTTGTACAGCTGTACTGCCTGGAACTCCAAGTGAATGTTTTTTTTTAAATGTTTTTGGTTGATGTGTCTGTATGGTTATAAAAGGAAGTTTATTTTCTGTTAAGCAACAAGGCATTTTTTTGCTTTATCTTTTATACAGCAGTCATCGTCGATGTGAAACCTATCTATATTTCTGTTATGGGGTGTCCATAATTGTTTGTAATTTAAGGGAAACATTTCTGTATTTGAAATGGAGACAGTAATGTTCCCTTTAAGACCTGAGTTGAATTCAATGAAGGATGTGGAGTGTGCCTAGAAGCTCCTGAGATATAATTAAGGAGATGCTGTAGCTTTAAAAGCCCAGTTGCTTTTCTTGTGTCATTTTCACAAGGTTATTTTGTACAGCATACTGTAAGGTATACAGTACCTTTTATATTCTGTAAGGTGTAGAAAGGATATATGAAATCAAGAGACAACTCCTGCACATCAAGCAACCCACTCCTTCTACAAAAACATGCTTTGCAAATAAAAACCTGACCTCAGTGTTATTGCTAAATGTTATCCATTGTTAGCTAAGATACTAAGTGCTGAAGAACTGCTGGTTAAGCAAAATCTTCAGTCACATTTAAAATTCAGAAGGTTGAGACAGAATGTTAGTGTGCTACTTACAATGTACAAGAGCCAAGAGCCAAATGACTGAGTCCTGCTGTGTAGGGACTGCTAGAGTGGCCGCCTTGTGCCATGGCATGTGTTATTGTCATGGCAAGCAGGAAGAAAATTAAAGACACAGAGGATAAGCTATGAATGACATTTTCCTTGTATTGTCATCAAAGTTAAAATCTTTTTGTGACTGGGAGAAAGCCTACTCAAAACCTACAGATTCCGGCAAGCAGTTTGTGCTTTAAGGATTTGCTCATTTACTTGTTTGTTGACTTTGACTTGGAGCTCTGACTTTGGCATCCTGATGTTTCTGCCATTGTAGAAGATCTGTATGAAATTAGTTCACCAAGCTCCATTGTGAAAATGTGAAAATGAGCATCCTGTGTTTTGTTCTAGAATGGTCCTGTGATGGGGGTTCTTAATTCCACTGCTTGTGAAGGAACATGTCCACTATGAGAAGCGTGCACTCTGCTGGGAGTTACAGTAGGTAAGTTGATGTTGTTCATGAAACAAGGCCTAACATGTTATTTTCAGCCCTACAGCCTGCTGTGTGGGGCCTGCGAATTTAACACTAGGCTTTGACACTCCTCCTGCCAGACAAGCATGTTAGTCATGATTTTTATATTTATGCACATTGTTTCTGGAATTTGCCAGACTTGTTTCAGAAGTAATTCAGCCTTTAAGATGTTTAGATTTTTACTAGATTAAAGCTTTAAAGTGAGGTGGTTGTGTAGACTTAGCAATGAGCTGATTGTAGTTTCTCCTAAAAGCTTTTATGATATTATGATTGATACTTATACAAGCAACCTGCAGTGTAAGGTCTTAGAAACCAGTGCTTGTTCTCATATTCTCCATTTGTGAGTTATTATTTGTTTGTTGTGCTAAGGAAGAGTTGTGTCTGGCTATGGGGCGTTTATAAGAGTGCTTGAGGAACTTTGCTTCATTACCATTGCAGGTACTGTGAGGCTGTGTTTTTGGAAATGGGCAGAGAGTGAGTGTTGTCATCCTGCATGTAGGGTCTTAGAGCTGGAACAAGAATGAGCTCCATCTCAGAGCTGGAGATGTATAACTGCATAATGGCACAGAACAAAACTACCACATGTGCCAATGCAGTAAAGGTTCAGAGACACACTATTGTGTGCACCTCCCAGGCCTACAATAACAAGGTGTTGTAATTGCCAAGCTCTCTGGGGGTTCCCTAAAAGATGTGCATCAGGAACAGTGGCCTTTCATTAAATTACATTTGACTATTCATTTCATGCAATTTTCTTGGTGCTTTAACCTGTAAGAGCTCAGTCTTTTACAGTAGGTAGGAGTGGGCTTTGTATGGCTAATAGAGATTAGAATGAACTTTATCAAAGATTTGGCCTCAATTCTAAATTTAATTGAAATGCATGGGTCAGGTCCAATTCAAGTACGTGCATTTGTGGAATTAGCAATTTTCGTGAAATATTAGTTTCACAACATACAGTACATGTCAAGTACACTGAATTTCTTTGCAAAAGAGCAGAATAGTGTAGAATTCAGTTAGACTTCATTCCTTAATTATTTTAAAAGACAGACCTCCTGTCTGGTGTAACTCTGGTCTTTATGCTGACCAAGATCCCCAAAGAATGTTTGACAGCTGAACATTCATTTTGTGGAATTTGCCTTCAGTGTTAAGGAGTTAATGTATTAATGCAGAGTGTGCCCTTTTTCTTAATACCACATTTATGTTAACCGAGGAAGTTACTCATGGTCATGCCTAAGGTATAAAATCACTCAGAAATACCTGTACTTTAGAGCTGAGTGAACAAGAGCTTGTCAGTGTCTCTCTGCTCAGCTCTCTGAAGGGCCTTTGTAGTAAACGTATTCCAAACCTACAATGAATAATGCATCCATACAATAGTATCCCCCATTCCTTGTAGCTTGGATCAGTAGTCAACAGACCCGTATATAATTCATACAATCTCAACAGCAGGTGTCATGACTATCGGCACTGTAGTCAGCTCAAATTCCACAAGTAGGAGACTGAGACAGACATTTGTAGCCACGTCTATTCATACATTTCTCTTACTTGCTCTATACACTATTACGACTACACTCATCCACAAAGTCATGGATCACACTTATCACATGTGACCAGCTGTTGCAATCTGCAACAGCATCACCACAGAAGCCCATTCTGAAATATCAGTCTACCTAAGCCAACCCTGTCTGCCAATGTAAAGAACTGAAATCGCACCTAGGAGCCTGATTGCATTGTAGCCAATGGAATTGACCCAAGAGTGCGTTTGCAAAGCAAAGTCTTATTACAGACATAAAACAAAAAACAGCTGAGAAAATACTGGGTAAAGACCAAACCTACAGTGTCTAAAATGTCAGTGTCAGAAGCAAAGTTGGGGTGTGTTACATATGCTAGGTCATTTATTATCCTGCAGGATACAGGGAGTAAGTGATGAACCTCCATGGGTCAATGAGTGAGTGACCGTCTATAGACACCCACTGAAGAGCAGGATGCTCTTCAAGAGCTCTGTGTTAAACATATCCTTAGTGGCTGAATGGCAGATGTGGCCTAATCCTATATCATGATAGATGGTTAGTTTAGAGAGTAGCTTGCTTACTTAAGTTTTACTTACTTTACTACCTACTATATTTATTTGGATTGGTCTGACTATGTACAGTTATGGTTGTCATTCTGTAATGCTTTTGCCTCATTGGCCCTTGTGGGGCTGCTGTTGGTTAGACTACTTCACCTTTAACAGTCACCAAAGAGAAGAGTTAGAGAAATCATGACTCAAAAGCAGCAGCAAAAATAAATTACTAGGCTGAACATGTAGATGCAGTCATGAGAACTGAATTAGTATTCTTGGGGCATTTTTATTGTCAATTAGTAATGTTCTGAAACTCAGTGCACTGTAGAAGCTAGGCTCATGCACAGGGAATGGAAAGACCACATGTTGTTGATGTGTTGCAGCTTATACATTCAGAAGATCTGAAAGGAACATGTCCTGTCATTTGAAAAAGTGCCTTTAGATCAAAGCATTTGCATCTGTGCTTCTGTAACTCACTAGTGAAGTATGTGGATACTAATTTTGAGTATATAGTGTATAAAATAATTATGGAAACAAAGGAAAAAGGAAAAGGGAAAATGATGCATTAAATTCTGGGGTAAAATTAGTATTATGGTACAATGCAATTGATTGTCGAGCAGCACATTAGAAAGTATCACTGCAGCTCAAGGCTCAAATACCTCCTGAAATGGAAATCACACATGACAAACAAATAAAGCCTTACTTTTTAGCTAATGAAGACAACTCCTACAGACAGATTACAGCCTACATTCCTGTTTCACCTACTGCTGTATCTAGATGTGTTAGAGAAAGTGGTGCAGATGAAGTAGGAAAGGAAGAAAACCTTCTTTCTTTAAACCCAATAACCATTTCGTCAGAGTAAACTTTGTGCGTGATAGGTGATGATCCAACAGAGATCTTGTGAATGACTTTAATGTATGTACAGGGCTTAATATTTCTGTAAAAGTAGTAAAAACACACAAGTTCACAATGGTCACCGAGGATTTCCAGCAGACCGGAAGCCTTTGCTGAGGAGATGGCTATTGGGCTGAAATGAACTGCTGCAATAAAACAACGGGATGGTTAAACTTAAACACTTCATAAAACATACCACTCTTCAGCTTTGTCAGTATTCAGTGGCAGTTTTTCTGAAGGTGGGCAGAAGAGAGGTGTGACAGTGTAAAAACGCTACAGTGTGAAGCATTAGGGTGGATCAGTGCAATTCTAGGTCTGAACCTCAGCCAAGGATATCCTGGATTTGAATACCAAGCGTGCCCCAGCTGCCAGCGGAGACCATGCCATTCTCTCAGGAGCCTCTCATGTGGCAGGAGCTCATCTTCAACATTGCCACAAGCATAAAGTTGATCTGGTGAAAACTGATTGGAATGTAAAGGCTGATGTTAAGTTCTACATAAATCACAATGCTCATGTACCAAATACTAATGTATTGCAAATTGTCTGTACTAAAGCATATTGCCTAAATTTCGTCATATACCCATTTTTTTCTTTGTTTCTTTATTTCTCTTACACTAAGTTTTCTAATGCAATAAGTGATCGTATTTCATGCAATGCCATAGAAATGTGGATTTACCTATATTGTCTTTCAAGATCCCTTTTCTTTCCTTTGGCACATCACTGCTTCTGCCTATTCTACTGCAGATTTCTGTACTTCTATAGGGATTTCTAATTGGACATCTGATCCTTTTGGTTGTTTTCCTTGGGTATTATGGACTAGAGCTGCGCTTTATGAACTGATCTTGCCTGCTGGAGAAATAGGCAAATGTGAAGTCACTATTATATTCTTTATGATAGTGAAAACAAATTCAGTGATAAAATGCTGATCATATTTATCAAGTTATTTTTGCTTTTTATTCTTCAAATCTAGTTGTAATTTCACATAATGCTCAATATAGTGGGGTTTGTTGTGGAAATAAATCAAAGCAAATCAAATCTATTTTCTAATAACTTCATGAAATTTAAGGTCACAGGTGAGTCAGAGTCTATCCCAGTAAGCAAGGGTTGCAAGGCAAGATCCACCCTGGACGGGACACCAGCCCATCTTAGAACACACACACACCAGGGCCAGTTTTCCCAGAAGCCACTTAACCCACCATTATGTCTTTGGACTGAGGGAGGAAGCCCATGTGAACACAAGGAGAACATACAAACTGCACACAGACAGCCCCCCAGGTCCAGGATTGAACCCCGAGCCCCAGAGAGGCAGCAGTGCTAACCACTGCATCACTGCTTTCTATGGAGAAAGTTTGCTTTACATTCATGTCCATGATTTCTTTTAAATAATTCACTAAATTGCTTTTCGGAGAGTTTAATTTGTTTTGCTCTTGCGCTTTTATTTCTGCATGATTACTTACACTCTTCAGCTACAAAGCCATTCTCTGATGTTCAGAAATAATCTGCTCACTCTTTATACACCAGAAACTGAAATTACACCAACATTGCACTTTGGAACATGCAACTTTGTTTTGAAAACTATTAATGATGGTGTCCAAATTTCACATTTGAAGAAGCTGTCCTGTTCAAATATGAAAAAGAATAATAACTTATATTAATACACACATTATTATAATAATATTTTGTGTACACTAATTGCATTCACATTGAAATCTGATTTCCCACACTGGCAGTTCCTTGGTCAATATTCTTGGCTCAGTAAGGCTTCACTGATAGATTGGACTTTTCAGTTCTGTCTTTTTGGAGGGATAGTGCTTAAGTAAGTGCTGCTATAAAGGTGTTGTATTTCCACAATACCTCAGCAAAGTTTCAGGAAAGATGCATTTTTCCTACTGTAAGAGTGTGGTTCCTTTGTGAGAAATGTTCCAAAAATTTCCAAACATCAAATGTTTTTTATTATTTTTTGTATGATTGTTTTCTTTATTAAATTTTGGAGTTGCAGTGTAATTGAGAGGTTTTGATCTTATTTTATCAACTGATAGTTATCAGAGTGTACGTGTACTGTATATGTATAGTGTGTGGGGTGTGTGTCTTTAAATCTTGGATTTTATGGATGTACTGTAATACCAAGTAAGCAGAGGTGGTTAAACTCCTAATTTTTGCAGTTGTGATTTTCCCAACGTTAAAAATGATTTGTATGTTACCGTTTTTTGTGCAATTAAATTAATCAGTGAATCTATTTATTGTCCGAGCTCTTAATGTAATGTACTTGAATGCTTGAAGAAACATTATTTCGTTTCTCTTTTTCTGTCAGCTGTATTTGTTTTTGCATGTCACAATGGATATAAACTATACCAGGGTTGGAAAGCTCCTTAAGAGTATCTAATTACCAGAATTCCACTGTCAACCAAAACAACAAAATGTTTTTGTTACCATGACCAGTTCATTACGCAGTCAAACATAGTCAGAAACTGTAGGCTGTCTATTGTTTAATTTGGCTGTACTGTAATCACATATGGGCTGTTCTGATAGAGGTTTTCGATGAAGAGTATTTTCTAGGATTATTTTGAATGTTAACACGGTAGTTTCTTTTCTATCTAGATTTTGTCATTCCCTAAAAAACTAAATGTGGGAATTACTGTAGGATGGTACTGCTTCCATGTACAGTCTGAAGAAATTTTCCAAAAGCTAAGTTTCAGCACTAGTACACCTGCCTTAATTAATCTTTCCTCAAGTTCAGATTCAAGGAACAAGTATGTTGGAATTATGAATCACTCTTATTCTCTCAGTATACAGACAGGTGAAGACAGCAATACATACAAATGGTAGGAGAGTAGTAAAAAGACAGTGCCTTCCAGTAAACAGTATAGTACAACATACAATAAATATTTTATAATATGGGATAGTAAAGAATAGTTGCTATATGTCATGCAAAATTGCAATATTCTAACTGCAATTTTTAGCAATTAGTAATTTTGCAGTTAGCTAAGTAGTTGATCATAACACATACCGCTTGGGGATAAAAGTTGTTTCTGTACCCAGTGGTCTGTGTTTTGAAACTGTGGTATCTCCTGCCACACTGTCGAGGTGAGAACAGTTTGTGCCTGGGGTGGTTATAATCCTGTTATGGCACAGGCTTTTGTTTCAGCAAAGGTTGATCTAGATCTCATTCACTAATGGTAAGTGAGATCCTGTGAATCCTTTGAAGATGCCACTGCCTGCTGTGTGGTCTTATATAGAAATTTATTAAAAAATATAGTTTTGTACTAAGGTATTCACAAGGACTAGTAAAATATTTGTCCTGGGTTTTTCTTTCCAGGGCAATTGTGTGCAAATGCTGTCCGTGATTAAATATGTTTTGGTGAATTATTTGAATTTGGTATTAGATTAGATGTACAGAACATCTTGATAAGACAATAGCAGTTGGCTGTGATGGCTGTAATTGATGGTGACATTTCCTCACACAGGTACAAAGGCGATGATGTAAACGCTGCTTGCCTCTGCTTCTAGTCTGAAAGATGAGTGAGGTGCAGGCGACTGTGGAATTCTCTGTGGAGCTCCACAAGTTCTACAATGTGGATCTCTTCCAGAGAGGGTAAGTCAACCCCCCTGTAAGTCTTACTGAAACAGCTGGCTTCAACAAAGTCCTCCTCTTCACCCAAGAGGGCAGAAAATGTCCAAAGAGGATGCTGAACTAGTTGCAAGGAGGCATCATTGCATTAGTACATTTTTAAGAACTAAATTTAAGGTGCTTGACAGTGGATCCATGAGGGAAAAGAAAAGGGCACACCCACCACAATGATGGTTCAAAATGCAGGACAGCTTTTTTGATGGTTCTCATTCTATAGAGGTCCATAGTTTTTATATGCATTACAAAAGTGTTTCCATCCAGAAGGCCAGGAGTGACAGTTTCCCAGTCAAATTTTCCCAATCCTCTTGGGTAAAACACAGAAAATATGAAATGCTCAGTATATCAACTAATAACAGAATTACACATCATTGTAGAGGCAAGAGATTTCATCTCATCATGGTCTTCCTCAGGCAACAATTATATCTAGCATGGCTTAGAATAGTTTTAATGTTAAATTGTGTAATGCCAAAAATAAGTTACACAAGTAAATCTTATAATGGGTGTTAATGGAAACATTTAAAAATGGTACTCAAATAACCATCTGAGACCCCTGCAAAAATGAATTACATGGTAAAATAGCTTTTGCATTTACTTCTTATTAAGTTTTACCTTTTACCTTTATTGCTTTGTTAAGTGTTATTCTTCCATTTTCATTGCTCTTAATTGTTGTGTACACTGTATGTAGCAAATGGAAGATCCCTGAAACAGCCTGGCTTGGTGTTTTGGCAAACAGGGACTCCTCATACTGATGTAACACAGAGTCTAAGATGGACTCCCTGCCCTGTCTACAGTATAAAACGCTAACACAGATGAGCAAGGTGTGGAGGCTGCAGTTACTCTGAAGAGCTCTGCTGATGTACAATAAGAACAACCACACCTTTATGCAAAGCCCAATGTAGAAACGGAAACTTTCAATGCAATTACATTTAACATTTACTATGAGATTAACATTTACTAACCATTTCTGCAGTTGTTTGTAGGCTCACCGGTGGCCCCTGCTGGCCATCCTTTTGTTACTGCACTCCCTTTCCCCAGCGGTTAAGACTTGTACAGGGAAAGTTGTGGCTCAGCACTCCTCTTCCTGTCTCACTGGGTGCCCTGAGAGAACTGAAGCGCCTCATCTACTTTCTTTCAGCTGACGTGTTAAGCTAAAGTTCTGTGACCCTCGTTTCTGTGAGTCCGTTTTGATAGCCGATAGCTATTTGAAAATAGCCTGCTAATTGAATTTGGGTATTTGCATTCGGTCTTTGATTTGTTACATATTTGCTTTTTTGAAAGAAGAAAATTCACTTCTGATACAGAGGGATGAATTACATGGTAAAATGAGTTGGTTTATCATTCTCATGAGATCTCAAGTATCTAAAAGGAAGTTGTATTTGCCTATTTAAGTGTGGGGAATAATTCCTGTAAGAATGGAGTTCCCCTGCACCTCTCTATCGCTGTGGATTAGTGTTATGGATTACGTGATGGATTAGTGTGTGGCAGAGTGGGTGTGCTGGGTTTCAGGGGCAGTAGACACCTGATATCAGTAAAACTAATTTAGATGGCACCTTACAGGAGATTGCTCTGGGAACCTTAATGTAACTTATTTCATCTTGGCCAGCATGGAAGAAGCCTGACACATGCTTATAATTGTGTTAAAATTAAATTAATCAAATCAACATGCAGAAACTATGTAATGTATTAAGTGTTTGTTGTACATTTTTTTCTGTAATGCATCCAACCATTTTCTAACCGTTCCTCCCAGGTCAGGGGCACAAGGCAGTGTCCTGACCCAGTCTATCACAGAGCTCACAGACACACTCACAGACAGACAGTCACACACTCAGAGCAGGGCCAGTTTTCCCAGAAGCCAGTTAACCTGCCAGTGTGTCTTCGGACTGTGAGAGGAAACCAGAGCACCCAGGGAAAACCCACACAAACACGGGGAGAACTACAGACAGATAGTACATTAAGACTGAAATTGAACCCAGGACCCCAGTTAGTAATGCTAACAACTGTGCCTCTGTATTCAATATTTCTTCAAATAGGTAGCACACCAAACTCAATTCATGGAGTAAGCTACTTCATGTCATGCAGTAACTGCATGTGTTTTGTGAGAGGCTTCCGAAAATTATTTTCCAGAGTTATCATGTGGTTTGGTTCTCTAAATGTACATGTTCCTTAAAGTAGTTTCACAACTGTGCTATTATGAAGAGGTAGTGAAACATGCTGTGATGTGAGTGAAATAATCCTCTTTTCACTGCTGTTAGCAAGTATCAGTTGGCTTGCTGCCTGTTGATTAGTGATGTTGTACTCATAGATCTCAGACAAGGTTTAGTGAATGAAATGTCATGGTTTTGTCAATAATATAGTCCCATTGCTAATAAGAGACATGCTTTCGTTTTTTATTTCCTTGTTCATAATGTGTAGATTGCACAGGAAATTCAAATCTGTTGTTGAATCAGTCTTCTGTGAAAACCAAGAAAAGGTTTTTCAGATGCTGTAGTGCTGTCTACTATTGCAGTATATGTACAGTACTGTAAAGAGGGATGGTGCTGTACAATGTTTAACTGTCTAATTCTGAATTAGGATTTCTTCATTTCTTAGGCATGCAATTGCAACTCCAAATATTCCTGTCTGCACCAGTTTATTTGAAAGTATTGTGCCCCCTGGAAAGAAATTCAGAGTCTGCTTTGTGTGATCAGTATGCTGAAAGTGTGCCAGTACACGGTGTTGAATACAAACTTTGTTTAAGCTGCTCTGCTTTGTACAATTCAGGAAAAGACTTATATAATTTACTGTTGATTGTTTTTAATAGGAGATGACAGAGAACTGATGCAAACACAATAATATCTATAATTTATTGGATATATACAGTATAGTGCTTTTAGTCCCAAAGGATTTCAAAGAGCCGTACATACAGGATGGCCAACATCATTCCCCAGTGAAGTGCAGCCAGCAGCTCCACCCCAGGCCCAAGCAGATATTTAAGTAGTTAACGTTAGGTCTGCTGGTTTCTGTGCTTAGACATGCAGGAATGGGTGGTTTTACTATTGTGTTGTTCTGTAGCTTGTGTTTTAAATTACAGTGTGTGAAAAGACAGAAGCAGTGTGCACACTACAGACAGTATTAAAGAACAATGATTTATCATCTTAATTGGTTCTTTCCATCAGAGGGAATAAACAGTTATAATCTTTACCCAGTGATTAATACAGATGCTGTTGGCTTGTGGTTTGGATGCTAAACTGAATACTTGATTCACCAATAACATTTGGGAACTGTGTCCAAATCAAGGACTACAATGTGCCTCTTGTGTCTGGAGGTGGCTGACAGTCATCAGGCTGCACGACTCCCAGGCTGTGACCGCAGGTTACAGCAGCAGTGCAGGATTGCTCACAACCTCCAGTGTTCCTTCATCTCCCTGTTCTGCACATAAAACAAGCTGAGGCATGTGTGATGCCATCATTTCTACTTAACATTCTTCCTTTTGAGGTTTTAGGTTATTTTGTAGGATTTTTAAACCTTTGCAATTTGAAGTATAAAACCATGAATGAAAGCAGGCTGAAATCTCCAGTGCTTGTATGAATGAGGAGACTTGCCAGAGCCTCAGTGTGCAGGAGCTCATTCCATCTCCGTGTTGGTTGTAGAAGTGTCAGAAGGTTTCCTGGTCATTTCGTTAAAGTTGGAATACTGAAGCTTTTAGACTATACTTTAAAAGGATTATAATCTGGTTCTCTTAACCCAAAAGAAAGTTGAAGCTAACTGAGAAATAGTGTGCATTGTGAGGAGAGACAGAATTACCAATCTGCACAAGAAGCACAGTTGTGAGATCTGCAAACTACAGCATGTTTTATCTTGGTTTTGAGCACAAAACTGCTGTTCAATATGTGTGCCTTTGAGCACAAGCAAAGCCAAGACTGTGTGCACAGTAATGTGGACTGTCTTGTTCAGGAACAACCATATTGTCCTTGTAAAACTATGTGCTCAGCACTTCCTCCATTGTTTCCTTGAAAATATAGGGGTGGTGTGTTTGCAATTTGTGCCCCAATGATGCCTGAGATTCTGTAACATGCTAGTTTTACATAAGTGCATGGATAAATGGGGGATAGATTGAGCCACTACAATGTTTACTGAGGAAAACTAAAATGCTGATTGCTTTTGTACTGATTGAAAGACAAAACCAGCTGCCAGGCTTTGTATACTTGCAGTTTGAATACACTCCAGATAGGGAATTAGTTGTAGTACGTTTACTGGGTAAGAAAAAAGTAAAGTAAACTCTGGAAAAATGTAAAAACGCAGTCATGAGGAGAACCTGCATGATTTTAATGCATGCACACAGTGCAAATAGAGTGTTGGCACATTTTCAAACCAACTTTCATTAACTGCTACCTCAGTAGTGTCTGCAGTGTGCTTTGGCCAGCATTCACAATGGGTACTGTTGCTGAAAAGATGTGTAAATGATTTAATCTTGTAAATTTAAGAAACCGTGCAATGCTCCTTTCAATCACCCAGAGTTGCATCATCCCCACAAATTGAGCACTTCTTCTTCGAGCTTCCTTATTCACAACCAAAGAGATGGAGATTTTGTGTCAGAATTTCCGTAGAGTATGCACACATTTTAGTCCTGCTGGTATTAAAAGAATCAGAGGCCAAATGCACTGTATAGCAACTTGCTGCATTGACTGGTACTTATGTACAAAATAAAACTGCCAGATATGGCACTGTCTGAATTAGAGTATTTGGTTCTTTCCCACTTTTTTCTCACCTTCTCGTTTCTCATTTCTCGTGCACTGATCCTCAGTTTCCATTGTGGTGCTGGGGTGGAGACTCATTTCCTGAGCTGTCGGATGCCTCCTGCTGTGGGGCTGGAGGCAGGGCACATGGGATCATGCCAAGGGCTGCTTGCTGACTGACACACGGCTGTCCTGGGAGGAGGGGTCTGAGCTTCTAAAACGTTTCACTTCTCAGAAATAACACACTTTACCTGCTGTGAACAAGAAGCGCCTGTGGATGCATTTGTTTAAAAACATTGAAATCAATATGCACCGTAAAAATATTTTTGCTTTGTTTTCTCCTGGCACTAACTAGGTTTTTTTAGCCTGGCTGAGACTAGTTGAGTCAGTACACATTGAGAACAGATCTTGTACAGCAGGTTAGCTCAGTGCACTGCTCTTTGTAGGGTGTTTGACTGGTATAATTGCTTTACTGAGCCAAAACCCATGATGCTGTAAGAACAATAAATCCTTAATGCCTCACACCTGAAGAGGGCTTCACAGCTTGTTCATTTGTTTGTTCTTTCTTGCATAGCCGCTGTAGGTTCCTCCTTAAAGTCTTTCATCCTGTGTTGTGTATCTTTTTCACTGGCATACTGGCTGTATCTGCAGTCACAAACTGCTTTTATGTTACTTTTATAGGGAAGCAAAAGGAAGTATTGCTAGATAAGAGATGGGTGAGACTGCTGTTCATTAGCATTGTAATGCTACTTTGTCATTGCTGTGCTGCAAATGCTGTGAAAAGACAGGTTATCCTCTTAGTGTTGCTGAATCCCTGCTTGTTTGCTTTTCACGCACCCCTAGTAAAGCTTGAAGAAATTTAACAACTTGCCTCCAGCTACTATCTTCCTGCTGTTACTCTAATGATTGTATTCACTTTTAAAATTCCACATGGATTTGAATCTGGGTTAAAGTATTCAGGTGAATAATGTTTGCAGTGTTCGTTGAAACTTGTCGGTCTTAAATTAACACCTTTCTGGTGCAGAATTCTACCTCATCTACACTTTAATGAATGATGCTGGATTTTCAACATTACATTTAAAACATAGACTATTGCAATGGTTGTGTTTAATATTAGCTTCAGCAGGAAGTGCCTGACTATTTAAAATTATTCTGATATGCCATTGTCTCCAGGGACAAGTTGTGCTAATGTGATCCTGCCCTTGAGTCCAGCAGATAAACAAGGTTCTACTGTGTCTGTGTAAATACATTGACTTAAAACTGCGAAGGAACAAGTAAAGGTTTATTCCATGCTGAAATGAGAAAAATAGAAGCACAATGTTTCAGCTGTGGAGCCTTCTTTTCTTTTCAGCATGAAATACATCTTTACTTGTTCCTTTGCAGCCTACGCATGCTATAAAAATATCCTAAATAAAATTTAATTTATTGTACTTTGTGTCATCAATCAAAGAATATTCAACACATCAAGATAGTTGTGGAAAAGAGTGATTACGGCGCCCTGGTGAAAAGTGCTGCACCCAGCGTATTTGTATCTGTGAGTTCAGTTTAGACTGTGTGAAACTGCTTTTAATAGAATTACTGCAACAGTAAATATGATTATTCTTGTGTACTTCTCTAAACTTCTTATTAATCCCTAGATGTAGCCTTTACTTTCTGTTCATTCAGAGCTGTTGGAGGTTTAGGCTGTGTAGAGGTGAAGATTTATTAGATCAGTGGTTCTCAAACTTTTTGGACCAAGTACCACCCCTAATCCAAACAAAGCATCCAAGTACCACCTACCTAAGTCATCATCTCATAGGAACCCCAGAAATTCTCAATGACCAACATGAGTGTGCGTGCACACACCTACATATAATAAATATTATAATAATAAACTTTGATATAGTGCCTTTAAATGTGGCTTCTCAAAGCGTTTTACAGAAAAAAACAGTAACAACAACAAATAAAAATAATAAAAGAGCACCATTTCAGTGAGAGGGGTGAGCCTGTTTAGTCGAGCAAAGCAGATGTAAATTCATTTTTCGAGCCTTGATACAATTCACAACAGAGTCTAACAGATTTTAAATCGTCAGGCATTTTCTTGCCTCTCGCAGTGAATGTTACAATGCGTCCATTAATTTCTGGTGCAACCTCTTTAATTCGTGCAACTACACCGCTATGTCGGCTTGTCATCGCTCTAGCACCATCTGTACAAACTCTGACACATTTTATCCAGTCGATGCCATTCTCTTCGATAAATTAATTCAGAAGCTGAAATATGTGATCTCCTGTAGTTCCTGTTGGTAGCGGCTTACATAACAGAAAGTCCTCATGGGACGTACCCTCAAACTCGTATCTAACGTAAACGAGTGGATTGGCCAAATTGACTACAGACTCAGCTAATTGCAGTGAAAAAAATCTGCTCATCTTAACGCGCTCTATCAGCGTACTTTTGATATCATTTCAATAATTCTATGAATGACTGTGTCTTTCAGGGGGCAGCAGGTCGAGCTGTTTAGCAGCTTTTTCTCCACACATAATACAGTAGGTGTCAGCTCTTTTGCCAACGGTAAATAAGGTTCTTCAAAAATAGTGTGGAGGTTACCTGCTTTAGCAATCAGCAAGCTTGCATTTTTCCCTGTTTCCGTTTTTATTACCCTATTTATTTTAAGTTTTTATTTCATGCGCATGGGAGCGAAACGCAGAGACACTCTGTGTATTTTTCTCAAATTAACTTAGAACAGTTCTTAAATATTTTTCTGTTATCTATCACGCTTTCCTGTGCTCACAAGATTACAAGCGTTAGTAGCACGTATTTCTATGCATTCCTGTGTTTACAACATTGGCATTGTTCCAAAATCACACACATTCTCCTACCTCCCTATTTGCTGGAGATAGTTTAAAAAAAAAATACAATTGGTCACTTCATCCGTAGCACGCATTCCTAAAGAGTGGTATAGAATTACAGAGTATCTCTTGTGTCCACTGAAGTATTAGCGCGCAGTACGTAGGCTGCGTATTCGACACGTAATAAAATAGAAAATATGAAAACCATCTCGATATTTCAGCGCACACAACACAGTTCTATGGATCATATGGCGTACCAGCTGGCGGCGCTCCGCGTACCACTGCTGCTACGCGCACCACAGTTTCAGAACCACTGTATTAGATCATACAGTGGAGACTAGAGGGAACTGCTGAAGTTATGCTAGTGATGCTGGCAGGCATCTTCCTTTCCAGCAAGTCTGCAAACGGTTATCAAATACATTTTAGATATTGCACAAGACCACACAATATGTGTCGACATTTCTATGTTGTAAAATAATCCTGCAGAGAACTAAATTATTGTTCTTCACAGACTGAAAAGATGTTCACATTGTTGCTGGGGAAATTGTTGTTAGAAGATGTTTAAAGACAGTGTTGGTTTTAATTGGCAACGTGCAACACTTCAGCTTTTACAGCCAGCTGCAGAACTTCACCACAGTGGACTAAATCCATCTACATTCCAGCCCAGGACAGAGGCCGGAAACTGAAGAGATCAGTGTTCTTCCCGATTCTGACATCCACACACTTGTTACAGTTTACGCCAGTTTTAATTGCTCTAACTGAGCAATAGGTTGTCTGGCCCATGAATGAACTGTTGCATTGTCCGGTGTGTGAGGTTGGAGGGAGCAGGGGGCAGAGCTGCACGTATTGTATATTCATTTGGGACTTGGATTACTTTGGAAACAAGGCAGGATGTATTTTAGTTGGCCTACATCTCTTGTTAGAATTAATGTTGTGTGCTATTTGTGTGTCTGTGTATGATCTTCGTGAATGCCTGCTGTGTTACAGCAGGCTGTTGGTGGAGAGTTATAATAGAGCCTTGTGGATTGAAACTACAGACTCAACCCTTTCAAGCACTCTGACTTAAGGTGCATTGATACTTGTTGTAAAAGATTACATTATTATTTTATTGACAACTCCAAAATTACTAATTGTTTCTCTATTATGATCAAATCAGCTCAATTCAAGAAATTGTTTTACATGCTATGAGAAAGCAAAACCAAAAGGCTACATTTCTTCAGGAATGGAAAACGTTTATCTCTGTATCGGATTATTGAAGAGTCAGTGCAAATATTTAAGTTGCTGCTTTAAGCTTTTTTTTCAGGCAGCTTTGTTAAAACAACTCTCCAGCTAAATGATGTGTCTCTGCAGGTTTTACCAGATCCGCGTCAACCTGAAGGTGCCGCCCCGGGTCCCTCACAAGCTGGAGATGAGCCTTCTGCGCACTGCAGGTCAGCAGCCCCACCTTCACTCCTGCCTTCTACAGTCTGGCATTTGAATAGTGCTTTTCCCAGGGGATCCCAAAGGGCTTTGTGCTTTAGTGACTCACTTCATCCACCACCACTGAAGAGCAGCATCACCAGCTCCACTACCTAACAGATCAGGGAGAAGAGTGAGACTTGCCTTCACCAGCTGAATTTCAGTGGGTAGGCCATTAACACATGTCTCTTCAGGAACTTCTTGTGCAGTAGACTCTAGTCAAGATATCATTTGAAGCAGAAGTATTCTGATTTACACCTGTAGTAAAACAGTGACTCGTACACATTATTTTTCTAAGAGTACTTGATTTCTCTTTTTTAAGCACAGTAAAAAGATCGAGAAACCTTCAATAACACTCCCATCAAACTTTCTTGCACTGACAGTGGGTCATATTGGTCTTTGAATGGACTAATAACAACCAACATGTCCTCTGTACTTGGATACACTGAGTGATAAATCACGATATTTTTAGTGGTGGCTAATTCTCCACATTCTCACATGGGGTCTAAGTAGTGGAATGTCAGGGATATAAAGTTGTTGGTTGGGTGTTTGGTAGCAGCCTGAGGAGACTGTTTTGGTATCTTTTTAAGGTCGTGCACAAACTCAAGTAAAATCTTCTGCAGTGTACAGCATTGTTCTTTGTGGGTTTTTATGTGCACTGATCCCTGGAGCCACCTTGATGAAGGTTGGGGTGTTTCACACACAGCTTTTGGCTTTTATTTTAATTTAATTTTTCCCCTATCATAATTTTGTTTTAGTTATGATCAAAGAAGAATCTTTATGAATTACTTCAATGGTCTGTTAAACAGTATTTATTAAATGTGCATGTTTTTTCTCATTATGATTAAATATTTAATCCTTTTCTAACATGTGAGCATTTGTATCATATGATGAAAAAGGTCCTTTCTGCTGAATACAATCCATAGGACTGCAGAAGAAAGCATTTTGCTTATTAAAAATTATGTGCAGGATTTCCTGACCTTTTAAAGAGAAAAGGCTTCAGTTTGTGTTACTTGTTAAATCACAAAACAGGAATTTGAATCACAGAGCTTGTCATTAATATCAAATTCTTCTAAAAGCATTTACATGTGGAGTATCTAAAAGGAAAAAGTGGTATGAATAAAAATAAATTTCACATTGGAATGCACTGATTTAACCAAAACACTTTTTTATTAAGACCAGTTGAATCTTCTAAGTGACTACAATATACTGTGAATAATTGTTACTTGGAAAACGATTGCTATTGAAGGAATAGAATTGTCCAGTTCTCATATTCTCATATCAGTTTGTGCATAATGAGATTGTTTTTGTTTTTCACTGTTTCTAACAGTTTTGACAAGTGTGCTCTGTTTTACTGATTTTCAAGTGTAACACAAGGTAACCAGCTGTAACACTGCTGTTACAAAAGGCCTAAAAGAGGGAGTGGAGGAGACATGCTTGAATGTGAAACTGCTCTGTGGTGTCACATGTCTTTGAGCATGTGGGAGTCTGGCTTAATAGCGGAAACTTCAATGTGAAACATTGTATCTTATTAAATTATGATATTTGGTACTCCTTGCATGTTTGTGTTCTCTTAGTGTTATAAATCCTGTCTTTCAACAGGAATTTAGGCCTTTGTGACTTAGTAATTGGTCATATAATTACTTTGAACGTGTGTCTTATTTGGTGTAATGTGTTTTTGTGGTAATTTTAAACAGAAAACAGGGAAAAGATAGATAAAACAAAGCATAATGAGCATCTGCATTTACATCTCTTAAGTGATGAATAGTTTGTAAATGCTCATATAGTTTTTCACAAGAAATGTATTTAACAATGCACAATGTTAAACCCAGTAGCGTGAATTATATCATACATTCTTCGGTTTCTCTTATATTGTTTTAGAACATCAAGCTTTTAGTCCAGAATAACAGCTTTCCTTTTTTTGCACTTGCATACCACATGTTTTCTTATAGTTTTACAAGTTTAGTATTTTTTATTCAAAGTTTTGTCTTCAAAGCTTACAGGAATCTCATTATTCAAATCCTTACTAGCTGCTTGCCCTTCAGAAATATACATATGATTAACAGAACGCAAATATTAGCTTGTTGTCTGGATTCAGTTCCTGGGAGATTCACTGCTTTTATGCTCTTTAAGATATTTCACTTTGGTTACTCCAGTAGAATAACCGGCCATCTGAATATATACAATTGTAAATTTCTTAAGATTAAAGCATCGGACAAATGGATTAATAATGCTAACAATTTTAAAAGTAAAAAAGTTGCAGGAATGTCCTGCAACGGTGTTGTTTTTAGGGAGCAAAGCAGAAATACAGTGATGTCTGTCATCTCTCCTTTAGGATCGGATCTTGCATTCCCAGCCTCTGTCCATGATGGGGTTGTCTGCAGTAAAACATTTCAGATTCTCTACAAGAATGAGGAAATTGTTGTGAATGATGTCTTGATATTCAAAGTCAAGTTGCTGCTTGATGAAAAGAAGGTAAGGCCAACTCCATGTATAAGTGGCAGTGGACATTTATGTGTTGTTGTAAGTGAAAATTTCTAATTGTATATTTATTTTATAGGATTTCTTTTTGAGCAATAGATTTCCTATGTCACATAAGAAGAGTGATGACATGCTTAAAAGTTTTGGTTTGTAAAGCAGTACTCTAGAAATCAATCAGACCTCAGTTTCTAGTGATATGAAATACAGATCTTTATCATTTTTGTTGTACTGTAACACACTGGAACCCCACAGTGTGGTATCTGTTCTTCATGGGGAGCAATAAAACATATCTGACGATCTCAGTCAATCTTTGATTGCTGAATGACAATAGTGTTATATGTGACCCTGTTGATTTTCATGTTTTTCATAACATCAGTTTTTCCCTACCAAAAAGAGATCTGTTTGTAACTTTTTTTCACAAACAGGCTTTTCATTTTTATAGGGAATTTAAATAAGAATTGCAATTTTTTTGTTCTTCACACAACTTGTGTTATTTTTTAGATTGAAGAATCATTAAATGAAATGGATTTTCAGCTGACTTTAGATCTGCATTTCACAGATGGTGATTATTCGTGAGTATTGATTTTTCTGTATGCAAGAATGAGGCATTTGATATTAAATTATTAATGCTGTTCCAACATTTACAAACAAATTATTCATAATTAATCTATTGGAAGTACTGGTCTTTTGCTGTGCTAAATGACAATTTTGTATTAAATTGTTTAATATGTTGAGGTGATCCTCATCTCTAATCTTTTTTTAGTTTTCTATAAGCATGAGTGTCTCAAATGCTGTTGGGTCAGACATAACTATTAATGAGTTTATGTGAACTTTCATAGCATTGTTTCAAATTCTGTCTTTCAGGCCAGAAGACTTGACATCTTTACAGATGATCAGCAGCCGCACATTGAAATTGCACTTTAGTCTACACAGAGGAGTCCACCAGCATGTCAATGTTATGTTTGACTACTTTCATCTCTCTGTCATATCAGTGGCTGTTCATGGCTCCCTAGTTGCACTACATCAGCCGCTGATAAGGTGTGTGAGGGGGCGAGCCACATGCACAGAGTATTATAACAATATTTTATTTAGATGAGCAGAGTTCCAGGGTGCTTCAGGCAGTACAATAGTCTTTGAAGACCACTGATTGCTGAAACCTGGACATCATTGTTTGAATCCTGGTCTGTGTTGCTATCCAGTTGCGCCCGGGATTCCCTAAGCAGTGGCACACATTTATCTGAGTGAGCTCCAGCAGCCCAGCGTTGTCTTTCAGCTGCACTGTGGGGTTTGCAGTGTGAATGAGTGGCTGTTGGTCTGATGAGCATGTTTCAGAGGATGTGTGGGTCTTTATCTTTCCTGATTTGGCGTGAGGGTTTTCAGGGTTTTCAGGGATTAAGACACTGACATGAAAGGACAAATTATGGATTATGAAAAGAGCATTTACTGGCAAATGATATTATAGCCTTTTTACTTTTTAGAGTTTAAAGACTTAAACTAGTCCAATTGCAAGAAAATCTGAAAATGAATGATCTGTGGTAGGTCAGTTAAGCAAAAGCTGTTTTTTGTTCCCATTAGTGCTATATCAACCAGAGAATGAAAATTTGCAAATGGAAATTCTTTTGAGAAGTACTGCATTAATGTATTAATTTATCAATGTTTAAATAATTTCTGTTTTTCTGCCTGTGGAAACTTTCACAAGTGAGGTACAAATAGGCATTGTGAAAGAAATGAGTTCCAGTTTAAAAATAATTCATGACACAATATGGAATATGGAGACTGAGACAAGAGCTTGAGAATAGCTCAGATCCCTCTCTGTAACTCTGAGGAATATTTCAGTGTATCTGTCCTTCTTATATTGTTTTTGTGATTGTTTGTAGCTTTCCTCGCCCAGTAAAGAACACTTGGCTGAACAGAAATGCCCCGGCTCAGAATAAGGACTCTGTGATCCCCACTCTCGAGAGCGTTGTTTTTGGTTGCGGTTATGTGAAGCAACTCTCTTCAGATGTGAGAAAAATTATTTCATTACTTCTGCATTTCAGATGTCCTAAGATAACTTCTGCAAGGAACTAAAAATATTATCAACATGTGTATCAACTGTCTCAATTAATTTGTGTTCTTGTGTATGATTTTGCATCCTGAAGCTTAGCTGTGAGTAATTTATAAATATGCAAATTAATGCCTGCATTCAAGACACTTCAGCAGTGCTGTCCTACATTTAGATCCAGTAATTCACTAAATGATGTCAAGCTGACTACAGCAAGTTTTTGGTTGGTGATACAGAGCTCCTCCTCCTTTAATAATACAACAGTGGCAACAATACTGCTATGAAAAAATCATGAGAATGCTAATAATTATTGTTTAGAAGTGGTATGTAATTTCTTTGACTGTGTGTGTCTTTATAAAATTCTCCATGAAATTCTGAATGAAAGAAACATTTTTCATAATCCATGAGTTTCTGGTCTACTGCTCTCTCTATAAAGAACAGAAAGGTTGTGGCTTTTAGTGTAGTACAATTATAATGTTTTCTGGAAAGAAGTATGGCAGTAGTATACTGCATTCTTCTTGCTCTCTATTAAAAGCACAGACTCATCCTTTGGAAAACACTGTAAGACTGAAGTGGGTGAGATCTCCTTGAACATTTGTAGTTATTTGGTGCTGATTTTGTGTGTGGATGCAATGATTTTGACGTCCTTTTGTTAGCCTCTTGAAATCATATTAATTACAGAAGGATGAGGTAGTCGCTTTCTAGGCTTTAAAATTAAAACTAGTGACATGAGCCAAAGCCCGTGAAGCAATAGCTTTAGCCAGAGATGAGTTAATGATGGAACAGGGACAGTACTTTAAGTATCGCTGATGAGTTCATGATTCTAGACACATGTTTGTGCTGTTATAAGCCTAGCAAAACTAAGCTTCAGATTGAGATGGAAGTTCACAAGAACAGAGAATCATAAATCATGACAGATGTTTGCTGTTTTACTGGTCTTGTGGCCTTTACTTGTAGTGAGGATCAGCTTATTCCTCCCTATTATGTCCTTGTGAATTTGTGAAATGTTGTGAAATCCACACATTATGTCAAATTTTGCTAGTTGGCTGCTAATCTTGGTGCATTCATAAACAATACCAGTAACAGCAGCTTACCAATGCAGGTAAATAAACTAAACAAATGAATGTTTCATGAAGCACTTCTTATTGTTTTATTGTATCCTTTATTTGAGCACATACAAGATTGTCACTGGAACTTTCCTGTTAGCCATCTCCAGATCCATGTGCTATCTGGCAGTCTCTAAAGATCCCCTCCAGCGAAATACCCAGAGCTGGATAAGTTACAAAGATCTACTCACCGAGATCATAATGAGTAAGATACGTAGAGAAGAGAAATAAAGTCGTATATTTTCATATATATACTGTATGTATATCTGTTTAGTGCAACAGATTATAGAGAAGATAATTTAAGATAAAAGTTTACTTCAGATTGGGCTGAGATGGTTTAATTTCTTAAGCAGTGCAAAAATTCTCCTGGAAGCTAGAAAGACTACTAGGATCTTCCATGTGTTTGTGTTTGCCAAGCTTTCACAGCTGTGCATTTTCTTTCAGGGCAGCACATTTGTGGTGTCGGAGAACTGCCTGCAGCATGCCTACAGTTTCCATTACAGCCTCTGTGCTAGTTTGCTGCTTGCGTATCAGGGGCTTTTCAACTACTTCACGATGGTGACAAAGGACCTCCCCTCTTCACACAGAATGGAACTAGGTAGGCTTCTGTGAAGCAGGGGCTGTAAGTCACAGGCACAGCCAGTGAAGCCGTTTGAACCACACTTGGCACTTTGTCTCAAATAATTGAGCTGGATTCTGTAGTTAAATAGAATTGAAAATCGATCATTTAATTTAATGTGTCATAAATGACGTTTTGTGATTTTGTGATGTAACTTTTAACGAATAGCACACAATTTGTGTGTGTTATGATGCTCAAGATTAAATTCTCCTGCATGCTGAATTGCACTATGCTGCAGATATTAATAGTTCAAATATGAGTTTAATGATAATGTGTAACTTTCATGAAAAAGCTGACTCCTTTTGTTTGAGAAAAACTGTTTTATCATTTCAGAAGTTTTGTTTTACCTTTACTTATAATATAAACAATTAGACAAAACTGATCGTTAGAGATACCTTTGAAGTGATATTTAAACCTTAAGCAATAAAGTACTTTTTGAAAGTTTGTGGATAGAACATAAAAATCAAATTTTGTAAGTGCTTTTTTAATTTTTATTCTCTCCCAGTCACCTCAGTATTTCTTTTTCATTTTTTTATTGTATTACTTTTTCTAGTTTTTCTCATGTTTGTGTTTGGTGCTAAATATGCATTAGCTTTTGCTGTGTACTAATCTTACTAACAGTTAACCCCTATTCTCTAGCAACTATGGGAGTTCCTAGGCATTCACATTCCCTGATAGTCACAAGAAGCAAATACTCACTTCCATTAAACGACACTAGACTAACACATTGTTCCTACAGCTGGAATGCGTTGCATTTTTGTAGTTTTATCTTGTGGTTTAGCGATTTGCTGCAGCTCTCTAGAGTCTCTGTCTGGGCTTAATAAGGAGGCTGACGAGACTGCTGCTTCCCATTAACATCCATGTGTCGGGGAGTTTACACTCGATTTACCCCACATGCTTTGGTTTGTCGCTGCTTAGTGGCTAATCTATGTAAGTGTGAGGATTAGCGTTAATCCGGAAAAAGGGAAAGAAAAATAAACGTGCCTATATGTGCAATCCTGTAACTAGCCAAGCCCAGCATGCAAGTCCTATTTGAGCGAGTTCTCAGAAGACCCTATCCCCGAAGCCAGAGAGCCGTCTACATAGGTATGTTCCTGACCTGCTCTGCATCACGTCACGTCTCACTTTTAATAATTTTTTCCTGAACAAACAGAACTGCACCATGTAGTTTGGACATCAAACTATGTTAATCAATAGTCACAGGTGTATCCTTTTATTCCATCATGTAATCAGCATTATTATTACTGTATGTTTAAATTTTTAATTTTGTAATGGAGCTCTTGTGTGAATCATCCCCTACTATAGAGTTGGTTCTGCAGTCAGTTATTTTGAGCTGTTTTTTTTATTCTCCTCATGCAATTTCTGTTTGACTTTCATTAGCAATTTTTAATGTTACTTTCAGCTTTTTAATTGGTATCCCATGGCTGCCTGATTAATATTTGAAATTGTGATTTTTTGTTTGAATGAACCTTTTGGTAGTTTAATGACTATGCCTGGGATTTAAGATTTTATTTCCTTATTTCATCTTGAATTATTGTTTTTTTATAACTACATGGATATTTGATCAAATTGCAATGTGTTTTCTGGTTTATGTACCTGCCTTTCATGATAAAATTAAGATTACATTTTAGAAGTATATCTTCTGCTTTACTACCAAGTAAGTGTCAGGTTTGTTTCACTGACATTTTCAGTGTAGTTCAACAGACATTCTGACAGAATAGTTCAGAAGACAACAGCAGTACTATATAACTTTATTGTATTATGTTTGACAAATTCAGTTTTGTTTCCTAAAATTCAAGGTTTGATGTATAAAATCAAGAGATTGGAGCAATCTGAAATCTGAAATTTTGTTTTTTAATTGCGTTGATACAGACAACTGGCTTGTTCGCTACTAGTATTTTGGCTTATTTTTCAGAAAAACTAGATGTGGAAGCTCGTCTTTCTGAACTGTGTGATCAGGTCAAGGTAGGTATCTCCTTTCATTAGGACATACATGTCTGCACGTGAGAATGGAGTAGTTCTATAAAAGCACAGAAGAATGGAGAATCTCTGTAAAAGGCTGCTAGATTTTTGTTAACCTGCACAGCAGTCTGTGGCTCATTACCTTCCTTCTAATGTTTCTAAGTGCTGCTTAAGTCTTGATGATATCAAAGTGCAAGCTGATAATACAGCTGGTTTTATGACAATATCCAACTACCAGCAAATCCAGTAGAGTCTCCATGTCTGCAAATTTAACATTCACAAATTTGCTTATTGTCGATTCAGTCTGGCTGACGGGCTTCTGTATGGAAGAGGAGCAGGGCAGGATGAACCCTATCTGAAGGTTGTAAGCACAGCTTTCAAATTAGCTGCATGCCAGATGGAGATCGTAAGAGAGTGAGCCTCTCTTCCCCCTGCCCTGCGTCCATATCTCAGCGTGATCTTGTTTTTGTTTTGTAACAACCGCTCTCAGTTCTGTGTCGGCGGTATGGGGAGTGACAGGCTGGAGACCACTGTACAGGCTCACTGACAGTAAATTTGAGTAGATTGCTATAAGTATGTGGTTACTGTTTCTTTTTGTTCATCAGTGTTATTTTAATTAACTTAGAGCCAATGAATTAGCATTTCAATTATCATATAAGGGAGGGTTACTTATGTCTTTTAACTGACGTACTATATAGTATGATGGCTGCGGTGGATTTGGTTATATGTAAAGTTAGCTGAAAATTCACGACAGTTCTCTTCATACATTACAATATTATTTACATTATGCTGTTATAATACTTTTCCCAGATGAGGGTTAGAAATTTGATTTATTCTTTCAGGAACTATATTGGAATCCTAGTACAGATAAAAGAAAACTAAAAGTTGAAGTAAGAAAATATGGTTTAATAATAAACTTATTGTCAAATGTGATATAACTGATTATCAAAAAGTAACAAATCATATGGGAGACTTTAAGTGATGGAGTTCTCACATTCAGTATTGCAAAACGGACTTGAATGCACTTGCAGTTTAGGCTGGTTTGTATTGGTCCTTGTGTGTTTTTTGCTTACCATTTAAAAATTGTGAGGTATACAGAGTATTATAACTGATGATTTGCTGCTCTGGGCAAGGAGGCTGTTTGGGCAAAGAGGACATGAATGGTCATGCAAACAAATAAAAATGAATGTATCTTTGAAAATAAATGAGTTGGTTAGTAAGGAGTCCTGAGACACTGGAATATGATTATGTGACGTTATATTAGAACTAAGATGTTACCTAAACTGAGTAACATTCATTAAAATGTTTTAAATTACTGTGGAAGAGCTTGTACCTAAAGTGCTTACAGATCAGACTACTTATTTTAAGGATATGTGGACCCTTTGAAAGATGTTAGACTGCTGTCCTCATGCTTTGTGATCTTTTGTAGCAGAAGGCTGAGAATCCCGATGAGCTGGCTGAGTTGATAAACATGAACCTAGCCCAGCTCTGCTCCCTTCTCATGGCTCTCTGGGGGCAGTTTCTGGAGGTGGTGTCCTTGCAGGAGGATGTAGCAGCCTTATTAGCGCAGGAGCACCACACACTCCGAGTGAGTACTGAGCTGGCAGCAGAGACCGTCTAACAGCAGTTGCATCTTGCTTCTTCTTTCACTTTCTCTTCCTCTTAAGCCAAAACGCTGGTAACCCCTTGTTAAAAAAGTCTTTTTTAATGGCATGTAGTGTATGTTTGGCTTAAAGAGACAGATGTCCACTGCTTTCTTTGGCCAAAACAGTCCCCAGATCTCAATCCTATTGAAAGTCATTGGCAGTGCAAATGGGTTCACTCCACCCCCTCACCCTGTTCACAGCCTCAGATGAGGAGATGCTGCTGGGAGAATGGGATATTTTGGAAAATGAGATGAGTTGCACAGAAGAAAGACCTGCCGTTCATCTTCTACTACCCCTTGCGCAGCTGCAAAATGAAACATAGGAATGCCTTGATGTTCAGAACTGTGCATAATGTTGTTAGATAGTAAACTTCCCATTGCTTCTGGATTTAGCAACATAATGTGTTAAACAACATATTCATTTTAGAGTGAGTAAGTATTAACCAATCATTAATAATAGTGCTAACTTCTCTGAAGTTAAATATTTTTTTATATATACAGTTTGATTAATGAATTCAATTATTAAATTGCAAATTATTTAATTGCCGGCCATTATCTCTGCCCAGAGAAGTTGCCTTGGTTGTTCCACCAGCTGCTTATGTCCACTGGATGCGATTGTAACTTCTGTGTTGAAGCATACTGTACCTTTCTGACCACAGCCACAGAGCTGGCTTTGCAGGGATGGGTAGTCCTGGTCCTAGAGGGCTGGAGTATCTGTAGCACCAGCACCTAAAGAGCTGGGAGAAGCTGTTCAAATTAATTTAATTAAGTAAAAAATAAGGTGGTTAAGGTCATAAAGACCTGATTTGGAATGCAAATGTGTGGATACACCAGCCCACCTGGGCTCTGGATCACCAAAGCTAGAAACCTGTAACTTAAGTCTCCAAGCGGGCGTGGATCAGATAGGTATAGATGTCTCATAAATATTTACCTGGCCAATGCAAATGGCATTATTGCTTTATTATCGCTTATATTTATGCAAATTATTGATGCACAATAATTTATTATACATTTTTTTTAGGTAAGAAGGTTTGCAGAAGCCTTCTTTTGTCTGGAACACCCACGACAGACTGCTCTTGCATATCAAGAACTACAGTAAGTTGCCAATAAGTCATCAAGGCTGTAATATTTGCAAGGTGACTCCATTAATCTGTGGAGACACTTTAGAGGGGACCTAGTCTGCTGACGGGCAGTCCAAGCCTCAAGCACTGTACTCATGTACTCATTACTGTGATCATGAAGAAAGATTGAAGGTCTTGGTAACTTGAATTCCACATCTTTTTTCTAGATACAGTAGGCTCTTGACATTTGCAGGTATTTGGGTACAGGGTACAAAGAGCCTTTGCCAGTAGCCAAATTTGCACATAACCAAGTCCACCCCTATACTGTTGCATAATATACTACAGTACATAGTGTGTATGGTTATAAGTTACATAAGTAGCCCTCCCTTATATGATAAAGTACTAATTGCTTTGGCTTTAATTAATTAAGATAACATTGATCAAATAAAAAACAACAGTAGTCAAGTGATCACAAACTAATAGCAATCAGCTAAAATGAATCCCTCCACTGCATCCAGCGATGCCTGCACTTTCTCTCTCTGCCCTCCCTGCTCCATGTTTAGCTTACTCCACTGTAACGAGAGGGGCAATAAAACTGTCAGTGAGCCTTTACAGTCGTCTCCAGTCTGTCAATCCCCACGCCGCCGACACAGAACTGAGTGCAGTTGTTACAATACAAAAACAAGACCACACTGAGATGTGGATGCTGCGTAGTGGTTACTTGGGCAAGATGAGAGAGATTCACTTTCTAGCTAGATGCGTCTCACATTTCTGGTCTGTTGTGCAGCTAATGTGGCTGTGCATAACCTTCAGCTAGATTTCCTTCCATTATGCTGTTCTTCCTGTCAGCCAGACCAAGTGTTAAATTCACAGATATCGAGACCCTACTGTATTGTTTTTCTACAAATTAGATTTAATTTTTCCTTGTAGGCATAGGCTGTAATTGCTCATTGAATGCATTTTATTTTTTTCAGTGCTCACAGCCATTTGCAGATGACAACAGCGATTAAAAATTCCACTTACTTTAACTCTCTGCCCCCCCTACCTGTTGAGTGTGCTGACCTGGATGGAGATGTTAATTCACTGCCCATCATCTTTGAGGACAGATATCTTGATTCCATCACAGAGGGTTAGTCCAGCAGAAGTGTGCTTTTAGACCTGCTTGACATTGGAGCTTTTAAGATGCGTTGTGCTCATTAATTATGATTATTTTTAAAGTACTGGGGTCTATTATGCTCATGAATTTTAAGATGCCAGTAAACAAACTTTTGTCACTAACCAAGAACATTAAGGTTGAAAGCAAGAGAATGCCATTTGGCCTGTTTTTGCTAATGTGGTTGCTATTTGGAGAAGCTTTCCTAAAGATCAGAGAAGGGATTCTGGAAAATTTATATCAATAACATGGCTGAGTAACTTATTCTGAACAAGCAACACTTTTTTCACACCGGATAGTGTTTTTCTAAGTTCAGTGTTATTTATTGTCTGTATTTTAGCCATTAAATGACAGTCATAGACATACTATGTATGTCTAGACATACTATGTATATAGAATTTAATATTCTATATTTTCGCAGTCCAGTAATAAACTACAAAAATTATTTTGATAATATCCAATGTTTGTGAATTCAATTAAATGCTTAAATAATAGAATGTATATTTTAGTGAGGTTAAACACATTATGTTGCTTATGTGAATGTAATTATTCACCATATAGTTGGACATTTACTTACTTTGCTCATAACTTCCACATGTGAAAACCTTTCTGTTTTGAAGATCTGGATGGACCGTGGCTCGGTGCTCAGAATATAAGAGGTGCTTCCGTCTCTGGCAGGGCAGACCGCTCCGAGCTGAAGGAATGCGGTGGCCTGGGTTTCTCCAGCCCGGAGCTGAGGACCAGAGCAGCCTTAGCAGTGTGGCCCTCTGACAGCGAGAAGCTGCAGAAGTCTCAAAAGGGCAAACATGAGGAATCCATCAAGTCAAAAGGGAAAGTGACAAAGCTGAAGAAAAACATGAAAACCGAGAATGCCAAGAAACTTGTGAAACAGAGTTCGAAGGATTCTGTTGTCCTGGTAGGTTATAAGTGTCTGAAAGCTCCTGCTGTAGAAAATAGCTCCAAGTCCAAAGAAGGAAAACCTTCCACTAATCAAAAGGAAGAGCCCAATGCTTTAAATATTGAGGTCACTAGCAATGCAAGGACAAACACTAAGCAGCTAGGTCAGAGTAGTGAGCCTCGCTTCCTGCCCTTCCATACAGGATGCAGTGCTGTAGACTCCACTACAGACAGTGATCTAAGCAGTCAAAAAGGAAATGAACTTACTAGCCTTTTGAGTTTGGATGCACTCAGTAAGCCTCAGGCTGGCACTGGGGCTTTAGTGACAGAATCTGTATCTGCGTACAAGAACGATCAGTTCGAGCCCTGCGGCCAAAAATCAACCCAAATATCAGGAGTCAGACAAATCGATGTGAAACCAAGTGATAAAAATCCTTTTCAGGGAGAGAAAGTAACTGTGATCTTGCCATGTAGGACTGATGGCAAACCTACAGGGACCATTCCAGAAGTCATACAAACGGAGTTCCTAGATGTGCAGTCTGGTTTGCCTCCTTTGACTAGTGAAACTGATTCTGTGTTTGAAAGGGGCATGATCCCCAAGTCCGGGGACAGTTCCTCTAAACCCAGGCAGTCCAGCACATCAGTCAAAGAGGTCCACTTGGTAGTCGGGGGCGATTCTGTGAAGTTGCCCGACATCAGTGCTTCCTGTGCTTCTTCTCGCTTGTCAGACTCCGGAATTGAGAGTGAGCCCAGTTCCTTTGCCACACAGCCGTACCTGGACCTGCTGTCTGAACCGGTTTCAGAACGGTGCTCCCAGCCCAGCGAGAAACCTCACCCTCCACCACTGCTCAAGCCAGAGCCCAGCGTGAAAAACGTGAGAGATGGCATTTGCACTGAGAGCACCAGTGCTGTGAGTGAAATCCAGTCGTCTCTAACCTCCATAAACTCCTTGCCTTCAGACGAGGAGGAGGATGACAGCTCCAGGGTCTCTGTTGTAGCAGAGGACCAGACCCTGCAGGATGTCGGCAAAGGAGACCAGCCGAAACGCGACAAGACTCGGAAATCTAGCATTCTTGTCCAAGAGCAAAGTGTGGTCTTTTCAGGACACATGGAAACTGGATTAAATTCTACTAAAACCACTCCCAGTGCTCCCAGTGTTAATTCTTCAGCCACAGGGTTACTGCCCTGTGCTGGAGAGCTGGGAGCCATGGGCGACTGTGATTCCCAGCCTCTGGCAGGCGCTGTTGGCAAGTCCAAGGAGCCTCCTTCAGTAACAACTCCGCCAGAGCACATGGTTGAGCTCAAGTCTGGGGTTGTGTTCCTTGGTGAGCCCAGAAGTGCTGAGTGTGTGACAGAGGTTCAGAAAGGATCTCCTGGTAAGAAAGCAGAAGACACCACAGGTGAGCCACAGGCAGCTTGCCATTCCAGCACAAGCGTGAACAGTATTTCTGCTGCAAGCAGCAGTGACATAGTGAGGCAGGGGCTTGTGGAGAATTACTTTGGATCACGGAGCAGCACGGATGTCTCTGAAATAAGTCCATTGGAGAGCGCAGCTACCAGTCTCAACACCGTGAGTTTCCAGGGGGAAGCGAACGAGCCTCAGGAGGAGGAGGAGGAGGAGCAGGAGCACGAGATGATCGAGAATGGCTATTACGAGGAGGGAGAGGATGACGGCTATGTGAACGGTGTGCCTGGGACGGAGTGTGATGGGATGAGCGACGATGAGAAAGCTGTGCAGCTGGAACATCTGGCTGTGGAGCATTTCAGAGACCCTGGTAACCTGCCGGGGGTCTGCACCCCCAGCTGCCTGTCGTTTGCCTCTGCCGTGAGGGACTCCCCCTGTAGTGTGGGCTGCTCCCGGAGCAAGCTGGACACTGTGACCAAGCAGCCCAGCACTGGGCTGGCCAGCTCCGCAGCCTGCATGCGCTGGTATGAAAGTGCCCCCACTTCTCAGATGAACACGTAAGTGTTATGTCTATTCCTTTACTGAACTGATGTAGATATGGAGTAAAAATGAACGTTCAAAGATACATAATATATAAATTGTTATAAATAAAAGAAATTGCTTAATGTATAATACTTTCATCAAACACAGTCTGTAAATGATCATGATCGTTCACTCTTAACTAAAACACCTGCAGTACAATACAGGGCGCAGAAAGTCCATGGATAAATAGTTTTATGTGAAGGTATAGTAATGATATTAATGATATTGAGATGTGATATATATAGTAATGATGAAGCAGTTGAGGTTTGTACAGTTATTTAAATAAGATGTTCTTTTTGTGAAGAAAAGTAAGTTATTACAAATTGTCATTGAAAATAATTCTGTTTTTTCATTTTAGTATTAAATCATTTTTTTTACTCCATACTCTGAAGAGGCAGCTTACTGCATGAAATAGTGGCAACTTCACTCTCAGCAAAACTGATTTCCAGTCACTTTTCTTTCCTGCAACTTACTGGTTTTTTTTTAAGGAATTGCAGAACTAACCAGAGCCACTCTATTCAGATGACGTTTCTTATTACAACAGTTTTGTCGAAGCCAAAGAAGACCTGAAGCAGCTGAAACTGCCTGGATTCTTGTACAGCGACGTGCCTGGACTGGCGTCCACTGTGCCATACTTCAGTGCGGAGGAGGACGATGGTTCTGAAGAAGGGATTCATCTCATTGTCTGTGTGCACGGCCTGGATGGTGTGTGGCTCTGCTGGTTCTGATATCTCTTATGAGTTCCGAACATGACTGACCACTGTACACCTGCAGGTGTGAAACATGAGCAGGGATATTCGGTTCCCCCCAGAGTCATTGCCATGACGTGACAGCATTAGTCACAGAGGGTATAATGTATTTTGCTTTAAACAACTTGAAAAAATGTTATATTGTAATCATAATAGCATTATACAGAACAAATTCATATTTGCATAAATAATTGAATTCCAGAACACATTTATTCATACATGTAAGAATTCCTTTAAATAAAATCCAGCAAAAACAAATCTACAAAGGTCTCCTGTTTCCCCATGGTAAAGGGAGGCAAACCAAAACCTATTTTATAAGATGTAAAGAAAAATTAATGGACAAAATTAGATGTAACAGGAAAAAAGTTGTGGACCAATATTTATTTTAATTTTCCAGTTGCTCCTCATCAGCATTCTAGTTCTTAACCATATCATAACTTTACGATATTGTAACAGTTTTGGGTCATATATCAGGGTTGCACTGTGTGTAGATTTTGTTTTGAAATTTTTTTCTCTCAATTGTAGGTAACAGTGCTGATTTGCGCTTAGTAAAAACCTACCTGGAGCTTGGGCTTCCAGGAGCTCGCATTGACTTCCTCATGTCTGAGCGAAACCAGGTAAATGTAGCAAGACTGTAGGTGCACTAGTATTTGTGTTGTTTAAATCAGGCATGCTAGAGACTGAGCATTGAGCTTTAGGTTTACTTTTTGTATGAGTTGCTTAATAGCGGACGTTAAATCCTGTGAGCAATACATTTCATTTCTAGGTATGACTCAGAATTCACCCAGTATATTTTGGAGAGACTGAATTAATTTATTTCTGTTTTGCTAACCTCCACAGAACGACACATTTGCTGATTTTGACTCCATGACAGATAGGCTGTTGGATGAAATAGTGCAGTATATTCAGATCTACAACCTCACTCTTTCAAAAATCAGGCAAGTACTCCTATAAATAATAGTCCACTCTGCTCTGTGATCTTGCTCTGAACTGTGATCTTAAGTCTTTTCTCACTTTTGTGCCCTAGCCAGTGGAGTGCTGGGTGTTCTTCTGGTATCAGGTATCTAAGTACAGTATTCATTCACAGGTCTTGTATAACTTGTTGTCCCTATAGATTTATTTTCTTTCTAAACATATACTCTGCTTTTAACTCCTGAATGACTAAGGGTAATTTGAGTAGAGGAAACTGATAAAAAAGCGAGCGAGAATTATACAGCAGTTTAGCTGTAGAGCCTTTCATTGTTAATTTTACTTTACTTTCTGTTATTACAGACTTGTTGCTTTTACAACCTGAACACAGGCAAGACTCCCTATTCTAACCTCTTAAAAGTAACACAACATTGTTTCTCAACAGCTTTGTAGGACACTCTCTTGGGAACTTAATCATTCGCTCAGTCCTCACTCGTCCCAGGTTTAAGTTCTACCTGAATAAGTTGCACACCTTCCTGTCTCTGTCTGGGCCACATCTGGGGACCCTGTACAATAGTTCAGCTTTGGTCAACACAGGTATGCCAATTTGAATGAAATCATAAATTCAGTTGATTTACAACAAAATAAAACCAGAGAGGCAATTTTTAAAAATGTTTCTTGTTATGTAGAGCAGCTATTTTGTTTCATTTTATGGAGCTGAAGTCTTATATGTGTTTCTCTGTGTTGAGGTTTGTGGTTCATGCAGAAGTGGAAGAAGTCTGGATCCCTGCTGCAGCTGACTTGTCGTGATCAGTCTGACCCTCGGCAGACATTTCTGTACAAGCTGAGCAAAAAGGCAGGCGAGTAGCAGAGAGAGAGCAGTTCACTGAAAAGAGCACTCATTGGTCACTGCAGGGCTTTCCAATCTGCACGTTTTTATTGTAGCTGAGCGCATACGATTTTTCCCCTTTCATCCAGTAGGTGAATTTCTGAAACTCAGAAATTTTCATCCAGCAAGTATTGATACTGGTTCTAAATATCATTTAATTTTTGAATGAATCCAGCCCAAAACAAATGTAAAATAAGTCTCAAATACACAATTGAAACCCGTTAGCATGTGAGAACTGATGTGCGTCAGAAGGCAAAGGGGAGCAGTACTGAGAATCACCGGAATAGTGAATACTGTGTTTTGAATGTGGAGCAGTCCCCATTGTGTTTCAATTAAACTAGGTGGTTGCATTAATACCTCATTTGAATGATGAGTGTCTTTGTGATCCTGATATCCAGAAGATGGCAATCCAGTCTTTTCAGTTCTCGTTCAAATGAAATTAAACTTGTGCCCAGTAATGAGTCTTTCTAAATGTTATATCTAAATTAATTGGAATCTGTTATTTCTGATTTTCCAGGTCTTCAGTTCTTTAAAAACGTCGTCCTAGTTGGCTCTCTTCAGGACCGCTATGTCCCCTATCATTCTGCTCGCATTGAAATGTGCAAAACAGCCTTAAAGGACAAGCAGTCAGGTAAGACGCTTCTTCTAGTTCCCGTAATGAAGGAGCACCAGTGGTTCCACCCTGTGATCTGCAGAGACCTCTGTCACCCCCTTTTGCTGTGTTTCCCTTGTGGCTTTTTCAGTGTAGAAACATTTTGAAATAAAATGGCTCTGTCAAATAAGCCCTTACAGTGTGGCCATGACCCCGAGCTCCCAACAGTGCTTGTATCCCTCTCATCAGCCTTGTGTTGTAAGGCTGAGATAACACACCTCTATAACCTGTATCAAGATTGATCGTTTATGTAGGTTCAGATGAAGATAGACATTAGGAAACTTTCTGAAATGTTTCCTAAACGTTTTCACAGTCTGTGTGCTTTTGACAGTGAATCAGTATTATGATTAATAACCTGCTTTCAAATGCCTGCTAAATGGTGCTTTAATTCCTGTAGTCAGTATCCTTGTAACAGGAAAACAACAGCACAACAGAATTCTGTGTTCAGTACAAATGCTCTTTGAAAATGCTTTTTAAGAAATGTGACACTGGCCCTTATGTGTAATGCACCAGACCAAGGCTGCAGTAGAGTGTGAGATTTTTAGATATAACATATGTTTTCTCAACCATTTTGCAGAATATCTTACTATTCAGTCCTAATTAATTTGTAGGAAAAAAAATAGATTAGAAAAAAAGATTTGAGGAAAAAGGAAATGCTGGATGGTTAATGAATATTCATTAATAGACGTATCGTTACTAAAAATGTGCCATCTTCCTGCAGTGTATTGAAAAGAATTTGTTTTTCATCATTTTATGTTTTCCAAACAGCTGTGTTCTCCTGAGAGTTATACACCCTTAAGTACCTAGTGCTAAGAGTAAAGATAATATGTCAAATGTATTTGTGTTACACTTTCACTGATATTGTTTTATAAAAAATGCATCTTGATGGGACTGAAGCTGCGCGAAGCTCCTGCAGCCCGGGATGCGGAATGAGCTTTTTAAAAGATGTCCCAGATGTCCCAGCTGGTAACTGAACTGGCTCTCAGAGGAGGCTGGAATAACCTGGCTCCCTGTCTTCCAGGACCGGTGTACGCGGAGATGATTGAGAACCTGCTGCTGCCTGTGCTGCAGAACAGAGACTGTAACCTGGTTCGCTATGATGTCATTCATGCTCTGCCCAACACTGCCAACTCGCTCATCGGGAGGGCAGCACACATCGCCGTTCTGGACTCGGAAATATTCCTAGAGAAGTTCTTCCTGGTGGCAGGCCTTAAATATTTTCAGTAGGTTGATGTTTCATGTGGAGAGAAGGAGGAAACAAAGCTATTACCTCATTGCATTGAAACACAAAATGGTTAATATTGTTGTATCAGATTCCTTTTTGAGTTTTAAAGATATTTATACTTTTTATATGGGAGTTTAACTATATTAGTGTTTTGATATCATCCTTTTTTCTTGTTCATTTGTGGCTGTGCAGTTCTTTATTTTTATGTTTTTACAGACTTTCATATTTTAAGCCAATTTAATTTTAAACTTATTTTATGTTCACACTAGTAACATGAATTTTCTTCAAAGAATATGTGTGTTGTTACTGTTACAAAGAATTAACATTTTTATTTATGAAAATCCAACTATATTTTAATGACATTCTCTATTTCGTTAAATGATACAAATGAGTAATAATGATTAACTGGAAAATGTAGCTGCTAAAAGAAATATTTATTCTATGAACTGACCAAGTCCTGAGTCATTCATGTCAACATCTCCACAAAAGGCAATTTATTTTCTACTCATTCTCAACATGAACTTGTATCATACCTGTGGAAAAAGACTTTTTCTACTGCAAAGAATGAACAGTAATTTTTATTATTCAAAGTGACTTTTATTACTACATTCAGAGCTTTTAAAGGCTTCCAATAAAATATGGAAGTAAGGAGAGATTTCTGCATGTAGTTCACACAAAGCTGCAATGAGGAAAGTTTAGGTTTTGTATTGTTTTCAAGTCCATTGTGATTTAATATACTTAACTTTATCTTTGGAGGGCTAAAGTGCTTTGAAAAAGAACAAAAGTTTATTGTATACAATGCCATCATTTTACAACAGGGTTTTTAAATATACAAAGAGAAGTTTTATTGATTGAACACAGGCAGGGGATCAAACACTTTGGAGAACTGAACACGTTTGTCTGAAATGGAGGTTGACTTTTTTAAAATAAAACCAGACTCTGTTTGTGATTGAATGAAAGATAGGATAATATAGTTTGTGATTTTTAAAACTGAAATATTGTACCAATAGAACAAATGCATGTTCTCATTTTTCTTTGTCCAGAAGTGGTTTGTACACTCTTGCACACATTTTCCATTAAATGTAACATAAATAAACCCAAATGTCTCAATCACCCTCTTTTAGATGACAGCCTAATACCCCATCTAGGTATTGTAATTTATGTTCTCAGCTGCTTTAAACAAGAGCTTGCTTTTAAGCTCTGTGGAAGTGAACTATCATTACTGACCCTGCAGGACAGCGGGTGAAGTGTTCAGTGCTGACACTGTCATTTGCTACAAACAGCCAGAATGTCACAAAGACAGCTAATTCGAGGTAGTGTCCCAATATGCACACTTGCATATGTCCTTCATAAAAGCGTTCCCACTCAGGTCAGCAAGGGCTCAGGGTGTCCTCATTTGTTTCACAAGGGTACTCACTAGCAATACTGTTTAGGAGTATTCGTGTACCTGCGTTGTATTTCGTACATGGAAAGACGAAGTATTTAATATAATACAAAACTTTGAGGTATTGCCAAGTTTACTATTTAGTTAATTTTGAAGGAACGTGAATGAACGCGTACTGCCATTTCCGTACTGGGATAGACGATATGAAATGCTTTTAGTAGCGTACAGCTTTGAACAAACAGCGATGTTGCCAAGTTTTCCTTAGTTCGCCAGTTTTGAGCAGCTCAACATGAATGAGCACGATGTGCCACTACTTCTGTGCTGGGATAGACGAGGTGAAAGTCAATTTCATCAAACTGTGAGTGGAGAATGAAAAATAAATCTTTTAACAATTATCTTCCGACCTGCACTTAGCCTCTGCAAAAGCAGCATCAACAGCAGGCAGCACTGTGACCCTGAGTGACGTCACGCGAGGTGTCGACCCGTTCCCCTGTTTGTAACGGTGCACCTCGAATCCTCGCGCGCCTGACGTCACACTGGCGCTACGCTTCGAGGGGCGGACTTGGAGCTCTGGGCGCAGAGCGAGAAGTGGGACACGGCCTCTTCTGCTCCCACACACTTCCGGTTACAACCTCAGTTTGTGCCTCTTGTTCCCTCGCTTTATGCTAGTCTCACCTACGACTCATTTAACCCCTGCTGCAAATGCGTGTTTATCAGCTGAACTCTATAAAGCTCCGGCTCAGCTTTGATAGGCACAGTGAGAGACTGCTAACCTACAGATCCATCATCCAGGTGGGGCTGCACATTGGTGGTGGTGGGTGGAGTCCCCATTACCTGTAAAGCGCTTTGAGTGGAGTTCCAGAAAAGCGCTATATAAGTGTAAGCAATTATTATTATATTATTACAGATGACGTGGTTTCCATTAAGTTTGTGTTAAAACAGTAGTGCCCCAGCGCCTAGAAACACATCAGTCCCTTGTCCTTTACCCATCTATGTCTGCCGTCGCATTATCCAGGTGTGGGTGACATATTGAATCCATTAGGGGAATCCCTATTACCTGTTAGCTCTTTGAGCGGAGTGTCCTCAAAAACGTTATACGAATAAGGATTATTGTTATTAATAATAATCAGTAATCAGAAAGTGATTAGCATATTTTGTTACAGCTGCACGTTTCCAGTTTGGAAAACTACAAAAAATGTTTAAGGATTAAACTAAACTATTTAAGGATTAATCTCCTTACGCTGTGAATAGAATATATTTAGAAAGGAAAAAATGATTTTAATTCAGCCTTTTACTAAAACGTCTTGAAACAATTTTAATCAAACCAAAGTTACAACATGAAAACATTGCCTTAGAGGAAAATGCAGAATGTCCACTACTTTCTAACAAAATACCACGGGCGCGCGGATACGTACTAAATCTCTTTAACAGACCCAGATCCATAGAGGCGTCGCGTCACACGGACCCCAGTGACCCGGCAGGGAAACGTCATCGCAGCGCCGCACTTCCGGTATGACGTTACGGCCGGCGCGGTATTTTTGTAACAGTAATGGGAGCTGACTGAAGAAAGACCAGTACTACGTTTAATTTCCCAGATAAAACCCTTTAAAACTACAGACATGGTAGGAGCCCCCATTTTTATAGTCTGATTTTTTAAACATTTTAAAACAGCATGTTCGATTGCTTTGTCAGTTTTGTTCTGTTATGAAAAAAGGAAGCCATTCTGTCATACGGATGGAATATAAACATATCGGACACATTAACGGTCTAAGTAACGGACATTGCTTTTAGGTTTGAAATGTTTAAGCAGAATAGTTTAATAGGAGATGATGAATTATTATTACTAGTAAACGTTTACTGTATGATAAGGCTATAGCTACATCAAATCTATCTTTATGGATCTGACTTGTTTCCTTACGATTCGGGATATTACAAAATCAGTAACATTTCCGTCTACATATTTCACCCGAAATAAATATGTAGATATTCATTTTTTAATATCGTAATAAGTAAATTTAATAAACTTAAACTGTTCACGACCTAAATTCAGAAACAAATACAGTACTACTACACACGTAGGGGGGCTCCCCTCCACCACCACCAATGTGTAACATCCACCTGGATGATGCGACGGCAGCCATAGTTCGCCAGAACGCTCCCCACACACCAGCTATCAGTGGGGACGAGAGCAGAGTAATGAAGCAAATTCATATAGGGGGATTATTAGGAGGCCATGATTGGTAAGGGCTAATGGGAAATTTGGCCAGGATGCCGGGGTTACACCCTTAATCTTTTCGAGAAACACCCTGGGATTTCTAATGACCAAAGAGTCAGGACCTCGGTTTTATGTCTCATCCAAAGGATATTTGTCAATATGTCTTGTCAATATTTCCTACCAGTAGGAGAATGTAATATATAGACCCGTCAAACTTTGCAATCCTGTCATATTGCTAAAACAGTTTTCTCAAAATATTTCTAAACTATAAACATCATGGAAGTCCGTAATAGGAATTGTGTGTTGTGAGGGTTATAATTGTTATTTGTATTTACAGTATAAAGGACAAATATGTAGAGTCCTTCAGTCAGGATTGTAGCAATTCTGATGGGTTTAATCTTAAAATTGTGTGTCATGTTATTTCTGTTTTACTAACAAGTTTGTTGAAAAACACTTTCATAGTCTTTTGTGTTTTATGGAAGTATGCACATACAGACAGAAGCACACACACACATAATCATACCAGGGCCAGTTTTCCAAGAAGCCCGTTAAGCTATCAGCATATCTTTGGACTGAAAATAAGAAAGGCTGTAAATAAGAGATGCCCACCAACCTTCAGTTCACATGTCTTAGGAGGGATTTCAGACCATCAAACATATGACCATTTTTTAAACTTTCACCCTGAATTTTTTTTTGTGAGGTCATAAGATGTTGACAGCAGCAGAATTCCTTACAGAAACACACATACAGCAGCTATCAAAAGTAATCACCCCCTTAGAATTTTTCACATTGTGTGTTCTTGAAAAGAGTAGGGGTGTTAACCCTGGTGTCCTGGCCAGTCGACTTTGGTACCTTCCAGAGAGGCATTATTTAACCTGAACTCACATTAACTACACACAGGTGGACCCCATTTAACTAATTATGTGACTTATGTGAGAAGTGTTTGCAACAGAGCCTATTTAAGTGTTTCATAGCAAAAGGTGTAAATACTCATGCAATCAGTTATTTTATGTTTTATCTATCTATCCATTTTTTAAGCTGCTTTAACCAAGTCAAGAGTCATGGGAAAGCAACAGGTGCAAGGTGGGGTACACCCTGGATGGGACACAAATTCATCACAGGTCACACACAGACAAACACATTCACACCATGGCCAAATTTCACAAAAGAGAATTAACCTACCAGTATGTCTTTGGAAAAAAACAGAGATCCCAGAGGAATCCCGTGTGACTTAGATCTGTTTTCATGGTTATTGTAAATATGTATTTTTCTATTAAATGCTTCCAAACAGCTAAACATCCAGTGCATTATCTGCTTGATATCATCTTAAACATTTGTTTTTGCCTGAAATTGTTACCAAAACTGATTTAAAATAGATGATTTCTGGTTACATTTTTAACAGTTCTGTGTACTTTCATCTCTTGTAGAATACAGATGAACTTTTGCAGAATGTAAGTATATCCATCCATTTTTCAATACATCTAGTCATTGATCTGATCAGAAAGTATTTACTTTAGCATATTTTTATTATTGTATTTTTTACAAGAGGTGTGGTTGTATTGTAGGCTAAGGCGCTGGCTAAACGAATGTCGGTGTACCAAGGCAGCCTTGCTCCTGATATTCCAGCTGGCGCGCTGTGCTCCGACAGTGCGACAGATGAGCTGCTTGGCGTGTGTGAAGAACAGTGGAAGAAGCTGGAGCAGGTGTGTGTCACTACGGCGTGGGTTTAACATCTCTCACATTCTTCCTCATCACCTTTGCTCTTCTTAATTCTTTCTTAAATGGGATTCTGATATAGTAGTAATGCTGCAGACAGTTCTTATACTAGATATCCTCTGTAATGCAAGTTTTTGAATGCCTGTCCTGCAGGTGCAGGAAAAGATATCTCTGGTGGGAGCAGAGGCATTACAGGATACAGAAAAACAGGTAAGAATGGGATCTTTTTATTACATCATTACACTGTTGGCTTTGATTCAAGATTAGTGAGGAAGTCATGCAAGTTCTGAATTTTCTCTTGGAGGAAGACACAAAATAATTCTTCTAAAAAGAGCTTCATTTTGTCATGTTCATCACCAGACACTCCAGATGGCTCGGTCTTTGTGTGGGAGGGACTGTCACTTATTCTCCACTAAGTCCGAAATACAAATAGCTATGTGTTCCTCCCATTTATAAATTCATCATATTGATTTTTATTGATACCTTAATTGATGGTGACTTGCTTTTTCTACTGTAAAAAAAATGACAGTTCATATGCATTTCCTGCTGTTGTCTATATCCCAGGTTCTGCAAGCAAAAGCTCTCTCAGCAGAGTTAAAGAAGTGGGCGGACAGAGAACCAGAGTGTAAGTGTGGTGTGGATTTTCTTCAGAAGCTTTAATAAAAAAATAAGAAATGATCATCCAGAAGACAAACTGCTGGTAGGATCTAAATCAAATAAAAGTAACATGAAATGTAAAGTCCTTGTGTGAAGTCATGACTGACTTATTTTCAAAGTGTTCTGTGGCAGATTTTCAAAGTCTTGTTCTATTAACTTTTTATTATTTTCTCTGCAGTGTTGCCAAAGAACCACAAAGTCCTGGTTGCTGTTGGTATGGAAGAGGTTGGTACTAGATTGACTGATGGGCAGTAGTTTGATGCCCACATTGGAGTCTGTCTCTTACAACATTTTGCGGAAATTAGAATACAGTAGTATTTTTACATAAAATATAGTTATTTAAAGCATGTGTGACGGTTCTTGGGGTTTCCGCCCTTGTCACTCCTGCCCGGCAAGTTAGTCCCTCACTGCCTGGGTGCGAACCTGGGTCTCCGGCGTCATGCAACAGGAAACCTGCCCGGCTGAGCTAAAGGAGAACTCCCCCAGCCAGGGCGGCTGAGATCCCTTTTATAAGCAGGGGCTTTTTCGTTACACATGGTAGTAAATCAGTGGTCTTAATGCCCTTAATAGCCTCATTTTCTAATGAGACCAAGTTTGAAAATACTTCAGAAGTGTTCTGTCAGGTAATTACTTAACCTTAAACCCTTTTGACAGTTGGAACAAATCTTTCACATTACCTACACCCATGCTGAGAAAAGGTATTTCTTAAAGGCCTGAAGGACATAATTGGGTTATAGCTTGTATATACCTGTGCTGAGGTTATGAAGCATGTCACTCATCGCTCGGCTAGAAGCCCGCATGCTGCTTTGGTTAAAAATGTCAATTCTGTTACAGCTGCAGAGGGTGAACAGAGAGCTTGAAATGGTCCTGTCCTGTTGTCAAGCGAAGAATGAAAAGCTGAAACATGATGTGAAAAGGTCTGTTGTATTTTCCCCATGTGGTTTTGTTCTACTGTGCATTATGCTAATGCTGTATAGTACTGGCTCCTTGTCACAAACATTCAGCCTTGCATTATGATGTCAGCCTGTCAGTATATTAGTAACTCAGTTGTTTGAAACTCCGGAACAAGAAGTCTCCTTGTTTTTTAATCTGTCTTCAAGGTTAGGCAATTAATTGTGTTTTTTTAATTCAAGTGAACAGAAGTGGCTAGAAGAACAAGAAGAGTTGTTGAATGCAGCTACTGACAGAGCAAAAGAACTGCAAATGGAAATAAGCAGATCATCTGAAGCAAAGTATGTCTGAAAATGACAAGAGGTGGAACACATTTAAAGACAAATATTTATTTATAATGCCTTTCTGTGTAAGCAGTGCTTTTAGACACACTAAATGAGAGATATCTTTTGTGTCAAATGTTATAAGATCTTTGAGTTATCTTTAGTGAACTGGGTAATGTTGATTGCTCTTAAGAGTGGTGTGAGATGTAGGCCCATTGGCCTCTGGATGTGTGTCTCATCCTCTTGTTATTTTAAGTCCTGAACATTCCAGAGTGACTGTTGAATACTGGACTTGAAAGATATATAAACTTGTATATATATGCTTTTAGAACTATGCAGTCTAATTGGGTGTTGACAAGTTATAACATATTAAACAAGACTGCATGTTCTCTTCCTTCATGGCCTCTTGGATAATGCATTGTGTTGTGGGGTTTTGGTTATTGGTAATATTGAGAATATTCTTTAATTTTTTAAATAATTTGTATTTTAGGGCAGTGCAGGAAACAAAGAGGAAAATCCAGAAAATAAAGGCTTACCAGGAGAACTTGTTGGAGACATTTAGTGACTTCCTTGCTGAGCACTTTCCTATTCCTCAACAGCAGGCAAATGAAAACAGGAAGAAAAAAGTGGGTCCTTCTTGTCTTAAATGTAACACTGAGGGGCTGTTTATCAAAAATATATCTATTGAACCTGTTTTTCTATTCAGTAGATTTTTAATAACTCAAAGAGTTCCACCAGTTGTTCAATTTCTCCTTAGGAAACTTTTTGAGATTATGAATTGACATAATATCAAGAAACTAATACTTTGAGGTTTTTCTTTCAGGTGTTTTCCCTGGAACCGACTGTGGAACTGATTTCATTACATGACATTCTGGAGGTATTATTGCTTTTTACTGTGGTGTGTGTGCGTCTCTGTCTCTGTCTCTGTCTCTGTCTCTGTCTCTGTCTCTGTCTCTGTCTCTGTCTCTGTCTCTGTCTCTGTCTCTGTCTCTGTCTGCAATGGACTGGTGTCCAGGTCAGGCTGTATCCTGTCTCATACCCATTGCTTGCCAGGGTAGGCCCTGGCTCCCCTGCAACGCTGTATGGGATAAAGTGGTTAGAAAATGGATGGATGTGAATAGTTGTATGCCACAGAGATCTACTTTAGACCTCTTGCTCTCCCTTATCTATGAATGGGGGAAACATTAAGAGAATTTAAGTGATTGTTCATTTAAGTAATTGTTCCTTTTCGCTGAAACTGCTGAACTAGTCAAAGTAAAACATTGAATTTTAGTCACCTTCAATTAGCATTCAGATTAAGCTTTATTGAAAAAATATAATTCAACTGACCCATTCAAATGTTAGCTAGAGTGTTTTTGCATATAATGTTTTGTCTCTGGTAGAATATGTTACATTTGTCAAATCAGTGACAACAATCCTTTTAGGACAGGTAACACTATACAATTGTCCCATGGTTGTTTTGGCCATTTTGAGATCTCAGTATTATATTCATATTGCATTTACTTTAAAATGGAAACCTATATTTTTATGTTAACTGTTTTGCAGCTATATTTAATTTATTTTTATTTTTTTCAGTGTTTGGTGTTTTATATATATTTTTTATTTTCAAATAATTCTCAAGTCACAGTTTTAAATCATGATATTTGTCAAATAGTGAAGAATATTAGAAAGAACGCAAATGAGAGGAGGTCATTCAGCATAATTGGCACCAAAGGGTTTCTCAGATGAAGGTTTGCTTGTATATTCTGAAATAATCTTGCAACTTTTTAAGTGTGAAAATACACAGCCACAACTCCAGTTAGAATATTACTTTGCAAGTGTTTTAACTAGGGAGTGCTACAATACTGACACTTTTCACTTAAAACACATATACAGTACACTAATTTAGTTTAATATATATTATAAATATTAATATATTATAATATTATAATTATTTTTCTTCTTCTTCACAGCTTCTAATGAATAAACTGTTTGAGTCTCCTCATGACCCATATATAACCATTGATGAGACATTTTGGCCACCCTATACTGAGATGCTTCTTCGACATGGAATTGCACTGAGACACCCTGAAGATTCAAGCAAAATTCGCTTGGAAGCTTTTCATCAGTAGAATGACATGATAAAACCATGTGTAACTGTTCTAACTTGTGTAACTTTTGTGCTTTTTTATTTTACTTTGAATAAAAATATAATTATTCTATTTAAATAAATTGCAGCTAAGGACTAGATTGTTCTGAAAATTTAATTATTTTAAATAGCACTGTAGCAAGCAATTAACTAGCAATCTCATGGCTGCATACTTATGGAAGAAGCTCCTATTTAAGCAGTCAAAATGTCTGTCTATCTGTTTTGATTAACATAATTGTAAGAATTTATTTGCATTCGTAGTGTCTTTCATTCTAAAGAGTTTGACATATGGGACCCATGCCATCCAGCACTTAAGGTTTCTCCACATAAGCAGCAGACAAGGAAGAGGACTCAGGAAAGGCAGCAGACAACCCCCTGACCACAAGACTGTATGCAAAATGGTGCAGTTTCTTTCAAAAATAAAAACAAAACCAGACAGTGAAACCATTAAAATGTGTTATTATATAATTTATGAGTTGCATTAAACACTGTAGTTATGGTTTGGGAAATAACCTTTATCTAAAACTTAAAGTTCTAGCAGACATATCAGTGCCAGCAGCCATATCACCCTGTAACTCACAACTGGCAACCCACTTAAGCTCAGCAGGTGTGAGCCTGGTCAGTACCTGGATGAGAGACCTCTGGGGGAAAAACTAAGGTTGCTGCTGGAAGAGGTGTTAGTGGGGCCAGCAGGGGGTGCTCACCCTGCAGTCCATGTGGGTCCTAATGCCCCAGTATAGTAAAGGGGACACTATACTGTAAACAGGCACCGTCCTTCGGATGAGATGTAAAACCGAGGTCCTGACCCTCTGTAGTTCATTAAAAATCCCAGGGCGTCTCTCGAAAAGAGTAAAAATTTCCCATTGGCCCTTACCAATCACGGCCTCCTAATAATCCCCATCTATGAATTGGCTTCATTACTCTGCTCTCCTCCCCACTGAGAGCTGGTGTGTGGGTAGCGTTCTGGCGCACTATGGCTGCCGTTGCATCATCCAGGTGGATCCTGCACATTAGTTGTGGTGGAGGGGAGTCCCCATTACCTGTAAACCGCTTTGAGTGGAGTGTCCAGAAAAGCGCTATACAAGCAATTATTAATTATTATTATTATAATTTACCGAGTAATTGGTACAGAGAAGTGAATTTATTATGTAATGTAATATTAAATTACATAATTATAATTACTGCCAAATTATAGATGTCCAAGAACGTTATCACAGTTACAGTGCAAGTGTTTTTCCTTGCATGTATAAATTCAGTTTCAGCAGACTCAGAGCAAAGTAAACATAAAACAGACTGCAGTTGTGTCGCGCTGTTAGTGAATACTTCGAGCTGCGGACGTGCAAAAGCCAGGCGACGCGGGAGGGGATGTTATTGAAGGGACTCAGGGTGGGTTGATTTTGCCCCAAATAGTATGAAAACAAACGGGGACGCTGTTTGTACCCAGAGCTAAATGGACCTCGGGTTTCGTTACAATATCCTGTTTCTTTACCGCTAAACTCAAGTTTAAGCTATGTTACAAAAAACGCGAAAATATCGTTTCATGTAGTTCATAAAAAGCAAGCAACCACGCATAAATCGTTACTAGTATTTATCGCGTGCACTAAAATACATGCTTAAAGTACAGCAAACGCCACAGCAGCTTTCTGATCGAGACAGATGCGTATGTATTGCTCTATTGCTATATGTCTGTTGTTAACGTGTATTTGAAATGTTTCTCGTTCATATTAGAGAAGTGAACTAACACACTTCGGAATCGTATACGTCCCACCAGCTTTTACTGTCGCGTTCTGATGACGTCCTGTACGTACTTCCTCTGACCAGAAACCTTGTATAATATGTCAGCAGCAGGATGCAGAGCAGTATGGCTTTAACGCGGTTATATCATTTTAATATAAAACATTATGTCCGTAGAGGATTGCTTAAGCAACATACACAATATAAACGTAAGATCTTTCATTATTTATTTCAGTGTAATTTTATTATATCACTGACAAAATAACATATCTTCACCGTAGTTCATCCAGTATTTTGTTCAGTCTGCGTTGTAAATTGTTTAAATCTGAAATATTGGGATTTATTGTAGTTTAACTATAGTGTAGGCTGGTCAATTCAACACGGTTTTACTGTTTTTCTATAATTAGTCCAGTCTTTTAAATGAAAATTTCAGATTAAAATTTAATAAACATGATAATTTCAGTTCTTAATGGAATGTCAAACGTTCTTAAATGTCAACGATATTTGTTTTAAAAGTGGAATATTTTTATCTAAGCTTTAATTGGAATAATATTGCAATATCTCACGTAACTCAATAATCTGGATTTGAGAAAAACTAAAGCAGAATCTTGTAACGTGTTACTGTTAAGAGGCCAGCAGGACCTGATTTGAGATACTGAAATCTTCCTCTAAAGCTAGAAATGTATATCAGTGAATTTTGTCCCCCCCTGAGTGCAGTTCTTGTGAACGGAGCAGCTACCAGAGCGGCCGGCTCTGGCGCAGACGGTAAATCCCACGGTAAGAAGGAGTCTCTGCGGAAGCCCAAGACTCCATTAGGCCGCTTCGACAGTACTGAAGAAGCGTCCACTGAGAAAGACTCACTGGAAAGTAAGACAATTAAACTTTACCAATGTGAATGTCAACATAAGCTATATTGAAACTCATCAGTTCATTTCAGGTCTCATTTATATCCACTTTGAACCACACCACACGCATTCTATCTTCTGTAGCCTCTCTGTGCATATATCAATTTATGATACTGTTGATTTTGGATTTCTTTGGATTATGTAACACTTACTTCATTGTGGTATATATTTTTTTGCATTATGTAACTTATTTGAAGTTACCTGGAAAAGAATGATGCTGTATTGTACAAATTTTGACTTTCATGTTGGTTACTTTGAAAAATGATGTTCATTAAATAGAAGTACTGTGTGTGTATATATATATTTTATAAATAATTGTATATGAAAAATAGTGAGTTTACAACAGAGTACCTAAGTGAATTTACAAATATTAGAAAACTATAATGCTCTCTGGTCTTGGCTGAGACTTAAAAAAATAAGCATTTGTTGTGTGCAGCTCTTGCTTAATATGTTATGTTTATCACTAAATGGACATCATCTAGTTGGGAGATTTAGAACTTAATGCAAGTTCTAACATTGATTATGGCACAAATGTTTGATATCATAATCTGCTTACAAGTATGAAGTATGCACATATATATATGTAGGTAACTACATCAGTATGTGTAAGCTACAAAGGAACAGGTAATGGTTTATTCCGTCCTGAAAGGAAAAAAAAGCCTTCACTCCTGAAGAAGGCTCCACAGTCTCTTTTCTTTTCAGCATGGAATAAACCTTTACCTTTTCCTATTTATATTTATAGTGACTATACTTTTTAGATTTTTCATGTTTTTACTTGTAAGGAGTCACATGTATGTATGTATTTGTGTCTCCTAGCCTCTGAGCAAAATGATATGCACCAAATTATGATGCACACTGTACTGTATCTCATCTCTCTTCAGAATTCCCTGATGACGTAAACCCAGCTACGAAGGAGAGAGGCGGACCGAAGGGGCCGGAGCCCACTCGATACGGGGACTGGGAGAGAAGGGGGCGGTGCATTGACTTTTAGTCCATTCTGGACATACTTATCTGTTGTCTGAAAATAGAATACTGTAGATTCAGGTGTCCCATAATAAACACTGTATCCAAAGGACCTAAGCATAAGAATCACCTTGCAAAAAATAGTGGAAATCGAAATCTGATAACAGATGTCTACCACTATTTAACAAGCTCCAAGGATACGACGTTTTTTAAACAAAGGCTTACATTTCTGAGGGCAACCTTGGTGTTGACTTTCAGTTTTAATGCTGATGAAAAATAGACATTTTTGTTATCCTATTCAAGTAATGGGTATGAGGGCACAGTGTTGACGCCACTTTAAACCGCTCCAAATCCCTGCACCTGTGTGTGTGTGTTCGTAAACTGTATTACAAAAGGCAAGAACTTAGTTAAATACAGTACACTTGAATTTCTAAACCTCCACCACGATGATCCCAATTTCCTCCATGAATACATTTGTAATTCCAGTGTAATTTTAAGAAAGGCTTTTGTGAGTAAGAAGCCTTTTATAGGATTTGAAACAGACTGAATGTAACCTTTATGAAGATTAAATTAAAATGATTTTGAATTGAACTGGTTGCGTGTTGCCTTATTCTTTGTAATCTTATCACAGTGTAAACGTATGAAACATTACATAGCTAATAAAGTGACGTAGGGCACATTTACATTTCCCAATGATACTGGAAAATAAAACCCTGTCAGTTGTCGACTTAAAATCTTGTAGAAGTTAAAAAAATGCTTCCGTCAATAAAAAAATACATCATCACTGTACCGCAGTCCATTCTGGACTTGTGAAGTACATGTCAAATGTTACCATCGCAGGTCATCTTATTACCAATCTGAAACCCGTTTAGCCGGTGTCGCTGAAGCTACTACCACAGTACTTACACGCGCATTTGCTTAGTATTGCTTATGTAAGGGAGTGTAATTACATGCGTGGCACAAGAGATTAGGCCTGACAAAGCAGAACTCGACTCAGAGCGAAGGTATTTTGCGTCGTCAAGGTGTGTCACTGACGTACTAGCCTCACCTGTCTGCAAGGGAATTTTTTTTCGTTAATAAAATACATTTGCACAACCTACGTTGATTTTATAGTGAGGCATACAGTAGTAGCTGCTTTCAAGCCGCATGCAAACCCGATCTATCTACAAGCAGTCGCGCAGGGCATAGAACACACACAGACAGCCAGCCTGCGCCGGCGCCCTGCTGGCGGCTGGGAGAGGACCACTTCCGCTTCCGGGTGCGCACAGGCTGTGGCCATATTTCCCGACTGCCGCTCTGTGTCGGTCTGTACTGTAGCTCCGGGGAATGGTCCTGCTGTTAACGCTTTTTAATATAGCTGTCATCGTGTAAGGGGGGAGACAAATTACTATTTCGTTAAAGCCTTCTCGGAAACAACCAGCTGAGACATGACGACGCGATCAGAAAGAGAAAAGGCTCAGAAACTCAATGAACAGCACCAGGCCATCCTGTCTAAAATGCTGAGGGAAGAAGATAACAAATACTGTGCCGATTGCGAGGCGAAAGGTACAGTGCTGTCGGCGTATATATTTATCATTGCCCTCTCAGTAGTTATGTTGTTTGCCATTTTTAATGTTGACGCATCGTATTGAGCTGCGTTATCAATGGTAATGTAACATTTTATTGTGAGACAGCGCTGTCGTGTTGATCTGTGGCACGTTTGACATTGCATTCAGGTACTTTAAAGTTAGATCGAGCCTCATTGTGTACGGGCTGCATACATTTCCCCGACTGAGGTTGTATAACCCCCCTGGTCGCGTGTGCATGGACTGGCTGTGTCCGAGGTCCACTACCTGACTGCTCAGGCTGGACATCAGTGCAGGTGTCCACTGCGTAGCTTGTCAATGGTACAGAGGGAGCGGAAGCCACGCTTTCTGTTCTGTCTTATTTTGCTTTTCCTGTTTGCCTCTGACGAAATTCTGACCTGCAAATGTGGAAATAAAAGAACCTGTCATTTCATATATTAGTCAGTAGTGACTGGCTTGGTTTGTCTCCGATGCCAAGTCGTTTGAGGTGGCTGTGCCCCGATCATTGGAGTGTTCATTTCAAAGGAAAGAGAGCTTTCTGGATTTACTTCCACCATACCCGAGACCTGGTGTTGCTCATTCTGAAATTGGTGAATGTCTCCCACACTACCATTATGTTGCTACTACTAAGCAGAACAGCTGTGAGTTAATTATTTGCATTAGTATTGGAAACCGGGAGGATCTGTGTCATTGGTTGCTTTTATTCATTAACATTAGGCCATGTGTGCCTGGTGCCCTTTCCCCTAAGGGAAAAGTGTTTCTCAGGTAGTCCTTGATCACTTGTTAAGTCCTACAACAAAGCCATTGAGCTAATTTTCACATCGGGGACTTTTTCCTGGAATATGATGTTCTTTATTCCAGTCCTTCCTCTGAATCAGATGCGTCATTTGCCCATAGTTAGAATATCACACCCTGTATTTCTCATTCAATGCCCTGTACTTTATTGGCACAGTGCTCCAGGGTGTAGTGTGTGATTTGTAGGGACGATCTGTGCCTTTAGCCAACAGGTAACTTGGGTAGTGGAAAATGAATGTAGGGACTGGGGTAGAAAAATGAGACAGAAATCCGGTCTACCATCAGCCCTCGCAGTCCTCCAGCTTGGGCTGTAAGAGCAGCGACATGCACATTAATATTTCATTTTCAGCTGCGGCCTTGTCACAACAGCTTCCAGCCCTGAGCCTGCAGACATGGGTCAGCGTGTGCATGGAACAACTCACAGCACTGCACAAGCTGAGCAACAAGACTGTTAACTGTTACTCCACTGGGATCTTTAAATAGTCATAGTTTTACAGCTGTTTGTACCAGCAAGACTGATGTACATGGTGGCACTAGCTAATTATATATTCATGTAATATAATAAAAAAAAACATTTTCCTTGAAGATTAAACAAAAGTTGTGATAGCACATTCATCACACCTAGAACAACAAACAGTTACACAAAATTGAAAATGAAAAAGACAGCTTTAATGGAACACAAAGTTCAATATGATAACAGTTTTTGAAGAGTTAACTGGCTTCAGCATCTGGTGTTTGTATCCTCATCTAGTGTAGTGGTCATTAAGCTCCGTTCATGAAAGACCTGTGTGTCTACTGTGTTCGTCCAACTGGGCCCTTAATCGCTGATTCTAAATGATGCTGGTAATTGATCAGCTTGCTTGTTTTGCATTTTTTCTATACATGGTAATTATTTATAATGGTTTCAGCACACAGAACTTCAGGCAGCCTCTTTACAACTTGCTGTTTAGGAATTTGCTTCCATATTTACGACTAAACAACTCTTACAAATTGGTGCGGTGGATCTGTGGCTAAGGATCTGCGCCTGTGGCTGGAAGGTTGCCGGTTTGTATCCTGCGGCCGGCAGAGGAATCCTACTCAGGTGGGAATGACACTGTACCAGACACTCTGTTAGTGACTCAGTCCAACTGGTTAGATCTCAGCTCACACTTCTTTGTGGACAGTCCTTAATCTCTCTAATAAGCTTAGGGATTGTACCTATTACAAATTAAATTAAGCTTTTTAAGAGCCAAAATAACATTTTAAGAACATACACAGAACAGGAAATTGAAACTGAATAGCATGTGATTAAGAGCTTGGCTGGAGGTGAAACCAGAAGACAGTGGTCCCACAGGACCAAATCTGAGAACCATTTATCCAGTTGAAACAGAAATCTGAGCAGAACTGAAGAAGAAGGTAATTTAAAGTGCACTCACCTTTTTAAAAGCTGTATTTGCAGTGTGCTGTTTCTCCACAGGCTTCAGAGGACATGGATGGAGTGTCTTTGTCACTATCTTTCACTATTGGATGACAAAAAATTGCTTTCCATAATTAACAATTAATTAATTAAGAATTAATTGTTAATTCTGTTAATTTAGTTCAGTGTTTGTCATTCTCACCTGACAATTTAAGTACCAGGATCCTCAAATTCTAGCAATAACGTTTTATAGTGATAGCTTTTAAGTTCTACTAATCTACCTTTCTTCTGTCTTAACGATTAATATAAAAACTCACAATGAATCAGTTAATTTAAAACACAGGATGATGGTAACATTTTCTGCAGCTCTGTCATAATTTAAGACACCAGATGTTAATATTTATGTAACTAATTGTTAAGTAATGGAAACCTACCTTCAGGAATGGAAATGGATATGCATTGCATTGATGTTTCTCTAAGCACTCAATCCCAGATGTAATGTGCACAGAACCTAATGTAACAGATTGGAATAACACTCTGTGAAGAAGATTTAAGTGGTATTCTGTGTGATTGCTGACTTATTTATGTTATAGAACCACTGAAGAAATGCCTCTAGTTGAATTGTTTGTGAAATTTTGCTTAAATGTGTAAGCAAATGTGTATGTTATTTTTGTAAAGCAAAGACTGATCTTAATAGTTTGGTGCTTTTTATTTACTGTTATAAAAACAGGTAAAAAATACAACTTAATTTAATGACACCTTGTGAGTTGAAGATGGTAAGACTGCAATTTGCTTTATCCTTTGTGGAGATCTGATTTTTATTTTTGGATTTTATTGTTGAAATTGCTGGTGGTTAGGCATGAAATGCATTTCTTTCTGCTAGTAAATGTCAGTAGAATCACGACTTTATCTCAGACTGCTACAGAGAACTAGGCTGACCTATTGCTGGAAGCAAGAGTTACACTGAGCACTAACATCATATTTTGTGCTTCAGCAAACTTGGTTTTCAGTTTCAGTAATCTAATTATCTAATTAGGTGAGACTCTAGAGCAGTAATCTGGAGTTTGATTAATGTAAAACAAGCAGCTTGGTTTGACCGACTTGGAAACTAAAACTTAGGTATTGCCCATTAGAAGAGCAGAGTGAAGCTTGTGCAGACTGGATGTTTCTCTCTGTGTGGTGCTTTTCCTGTGGGATTTGTGTTACAGAGCGCAATGAATTTTAATTCTGAATTTCTAAGCACGTATGAAAGATTCCTTCTAGTCCCTGTGAAATAAAAATATGCTTTTGAGTCATGGATGTATCACATACTTTTTCTTTTTAGGCTGTTTTTTACGATTGAACTTCACACATGGTGGTTTGCTGAATAGCCTGTTCTTTTTCCATCTCTATAATCTGCAGTGTGTGTGTGTGTGTGTGTGTGTGTGTGTGTGTGTGAATTTAGGCTTTATTCAAAATATGAATGTGAATTAAAGGAATCTGCAAGTCTTGCCTTTTCTTATCATAACCTTTCTGCAATGAAGCACAGTTTTTGTTTGCTGAATAACAAGCCTGAAATGTGAAAACAGCATATGCACTAACAGTTGCTTTGTTGATTATAAATGGTTACTTTAGTCATGTCAAGAGAGAGAGGCCAGACATAATCCTCTCTGGCCGTTCTTTCTCATAGTTCTGTTCTCGTGTGGTGCTCTTTGAACTGTTACCGTACCTATGCTCCATGTTTTGTCTTTATCTCTAGAGACCCGTGTTACCCTGAGTGGTGGGAGGGCCATCACTGGAGGCACATTCATTCAAAGCGCCTTTCAGATTGTGCTTCAGCTAAAGTCCGCACTCTCTGTGCACAGGCACTTCAGAATATAAGATATGCACCAGTACTCTGTATATCATTTGAATAAAATGCTTCAATGTTTAAACCTCTGTAAATTCCCTGAGCAGTAGCAGCCTTGTGATTTTATGACACAAAATGCATAAATACAATTTTCAAAAACGATGGGTTAGCGTAAGGAAAAACCCAGGTTTGTGTGAAGTGTTAAGTTTTGATCCTGTGTGATTTAGTGAATTCAATGAATCTATCAGCTCGATAGGAAGGAACGCAGGTTTCTATCAAAGTAGTTTGTGTGGAGACACTCACCAGGCGGTGACCTTGGGTCTCTGGCTAGCACAGGAAGGCTGAGTCAGGGTTACATCACTCTGTTGATGTTCTGATTGTATTGATTCCACTGACGACAGAAGCGATAAGTGCCTCTGATGGACAAAGATATCTGTTCGTTTAAGAACACACTGGGAAGGAAATCTGATGAAGAGAAGTGGTTGCCTTCTTGGAGCCACGAGGTAAAACTGGCAGACAGCTGTAGAGCTATATAATTTTGACTTTACATGTTCACGTATTTTACAGAAAAATGCCTTTTGCAAAGTTGTTTACACATAGCTGTGCTGCTCTCTTGACATTTGCAGGCAACCACTGTCCGTTTCTGTTTCAGAACTAGGCTGAAAATGGGAAAGTCTTGAGAAATAGCGGCAGGTCTGAATCGTTCATCACTCTCCGATGAGTGGAGTGTGTGAGTTGTGTTGGTCACGTTGCAGGCACCTTACCCTGATGCTTCCTTGTACTCCAGGGAGGTATTTTAAAACTGGCAACATAAACTAAAGTAGGTGTGTGTCTTGTCTCGGTACTTCTCTTCTGTGATTTGAGCTGTCTTTGTACTTCCTTAAAGCATAAAGGCACTGATTTTGCATTAATAGTTGGTTTATGATTTCTTATAATTACTTGCGTTTATATAGTGCAACTC